AGATAAAACGATAAGGATAGACTGATCATCTACAATGAAGGAAATTAAAGATTTTATTTTTAAGAAGAAATTAAGATTCTCAGAGAATGAGAATTGTGGAAAGGATAATGTTTTGATAGAGCAAATGTGAGAGTAATTAATTAGAAAAGGTGATGGAGATAATTGGGATTGGCTGAGACTGCCCATGTGACTCCTACCAAGAACAAGAACTCTGACTTTGAAGAAAAACTATGCTAAGACCAAGAAGTAATCTTCACCCTTGTACCAACAAAGTTAATACAAAAAGCACCTCAAAGTTCAGACTGAAAAACAGAACAAGTTATTAGGTTGGTGCAAAAATAATGACGGTCTCTCACATATGTTACTATGTGAGAAACCGTCATTATTTTTGCACCAACCTAATAACATTGAAAAGCAGACTTAAAATAACACCAAAAACAGAATGAACTCTACATTTCATAATCCAGCTCTGAGAACTTGCCTAAGTGTCACACTCTTTTAAGACAGGTTGGGACAATAATTGTTGTAAACCAAAGAACCAATATAAAAGTGAACTTTGTTACTTATTAATCGTGTGCCGTATTTTGTTTTATTTTTCATTTTTATTGATGTGCACCTTCACCCTAGCGGATTGATTTGGTACCAAAGGTTCCAACAGCAACTGGACCTGACTGTCTTATGATTAAAAATTCCCAATGTGGGATAGGAAAAAGGTTGGGACTGAACAGCTTACTTCGGTAACTTACTGCGGCATCATACATTCTAGACAAGCCCAAGGGCTTGGAAGCGACATATTCAGATCCGACCACAGACCTTAGAACGCAAAAGGTGGTACGTCATTGATCCCATGACCAAAAGTGGTCAAAGGTACCACATTATCGGTGCTGTGACCAGGATGAGTACCCAGAAGGGGTCACACAATGGTCCTAAATAATAAAAGTATATTAATAATTACTCGTCTCAGAATTGAAATACAACATTACAGAAAGGTTTTTTGTTTATTACTGCACAGTCCTTGTAGAAAATGGGGAGGGCTGCAACCACAAGTGTTACTGGTACACACTCCTATATATAGCAGATTGGATTACTTTCAAAAGCTTCAGATTACTAAATTTTGGAATTTCACTACTTGTGTCTTTTAGGATTGGTTGCTTTTGTTTAGTGGCATATCAACCTCTCCGAGTTATTTAATGCCAAAATCTAAATATTTTGAATGCTGTTTTATAGCTTCAACTACAGATATTTTGTACATAATTTTATATTTTTAGGATAAATGTATGTTTTTTTAGACATACAGTTTGTAGATGATAAAATGTATTGTTGGTAATTTTTTGTTTTAAATGCATTTGCTGATAGTTTCACTACAAAAATGTATTGTTGGTAAATTTTTTATAAAATGTATTGCTGGTATTTTTATACTTTCCACATGTTTTGATTTTTGTTCATTATTTGCCCATAGCTGGGACCCTAACAGGTGCTACCATCCTGCATCAGGGTTGACCTGGGAACAACAGCATTTAAGAGGTGATTCCACACTCAAACCTCCAATTTCCTGATCAGAAGTCTTGCTGCCAGATGTAGTTTATCGTCATATCCAGGACTAGATTTTTTGGGGTTATTGACAATAAGTCAATTCAAAATTTAGTAGCACTGGATTTTCATATGTTGCACAATTCACTTCTTTTATCCAATGTAGCAACCTTGCTTATAGATTATTGATATCTGATTAACAAACAAGTCGATATTAAGTGGGTGATCAGTTTGGCTGTACAACCAAGCCACAAACAGGCAGGTACCCCATGTTTTGTTATAGTAAATTTCACATATTTCTCTTTAAAAAAAAAACAAAGAATGAAAAACCATATTTGTGGGCAGTGTTGCCCAAACTAGGTTACTTTTGTGAACTTTTCACTACCAAAATTTTGGATTTCACTAATCGTGACTTTTTGGGCTACAACTGAAAAGTGAAAAAATGAGTGTGTGGTCGAGTACTTATAAGGTTAATATTCAATGAGACTTGAATTTAAATAACATTATGCTTGATTTATCAAGGAGGTGACTTTTTGATAATATCAGCTTGAGGATACAATCCTAACATATTGCACTTTTGGGAAAATCTTGAAGACCATACCATGGGTTGATGCATGTCTCATGGATGAAACTGGGTAGACAAAACTGTTTAGAAGCCCTCAGTAGCTGTGCTAGCATGAAGTTACAAGTCATTGTGACTGAGGGTTTGAGTGTATTTGCTTTGTTCAAACAGCTGATCACACTAGATTATGTACTCTATCCCAGAAAACTGCAACTTAGATCTGTAAATTATAGTTACAGTACAAAGATTGGCTCAGTTGAGGTTGAAGAAACACAAATGTGCCTGAGCAGACATATGCAATATGGATTAGCTAGCCAACCATCGAATTTATCAAAGTGAACGCAATTTGCTACTCGGAGAACTCATCGGGTGAAGCCCAATTTGCTACTCAGAGAACTCATCGGGTGAAGCCCAATTTGCTACTCGGAGAACTCATCGGGTGAAGCCCAATTTGCTACCCATAGCTCAATCTGGCAAGCCTGACCTGTATCTTTACTCTTGTTACTTTGTATAGAATATTTTGACTAGTCTGCTCTCTAGCCATCATCAGATGAACATTTCATCTGGTCACTTTTTTTTTTTAAGATTGTTCTTGTTCCACTGTTCATGCCTGAGGATATTTTTGCCTTGTTTTTATTTAGTTCTGCTTAGTTATTGCTTGGCCTCTGTTCAATTTATGCCTGTACTACCCGACCCAGGGATTGAACTCACAATTACTATATAATCAAATTAACAAGCAAAGAGACAATGGCCTGATAGTTTAAAGTGTTGATTCACTAGTACTAGACTTAGTAGAAACAGGGTAGTACTAAATAAGATATTCTGAGACATAGACAGTGGAGGAACAATCTACTCCAGTAGATTAAATAAATAATTATCTGAAGGTCTTCTTATTGTGTTGCTACACCACACCCATCGAGTGTTGCACACAGAGCCTTTTCCTGGGGTGTTATGGTTTCAAGGTCATTAAATGTCCATGGATCTTCAAGACTGGGGCAAACTAGGTGTTCCATAGTTTGGGATTGCCCACATTGGCAGTTGGGATTGACATCAGTGGCATATTCCTGTTTTTGAAGGTTGGCTCTACAGTGACCAATTTGGTGGCAATTTAGGCAGGACCATAAGAGCCAGACATCAATGGAGTCAGTGGGTGGTGGGATTCTGTAGGACTGAGAAAGAGCCCGTTTTCCATATTGTTAAGGTGGCTGTACTACAGGGACGGATGCTGACTAGGAGCTATGTTGTTCAGCAGTTCAGCTGAGCATAAAAAGCTGTCTTCACTTGAGCCTCTTTGTTATTGATCCCCAGCCACAGAGTGGATGACGAGGGTTAATTTCCTACTTCAACTTCTTGAGTCAGGAGTGGATAGTCCTGCTTATGTAATGGGGAGGAATGTTACTAAGCAAGTAGAAACTATTTACTTTGGTTGGCTTGAGACATCCAATGATTGATTTCCAAGAGGAGTCGATTTTCCTTGTGTGTGATGATCTGCTCCACACTGGTGAGGCATATTCTTTTGTAATGACTACACAAAATCCCTGAAAGTTCTTGAGCTACAGCCAATCAGGTTGCCAACTAGAGTGGACCCCTCTGAAGGTTATCTGAATTGACAGACACTGCTTGATTGATTTTTTTTTATAGGCATATCAACACCTTCATGGGTCATTTAATGCCAAAATTTAATTTTCTTGGGAGCTTTGAAATAATAAAAATATGATATATATTATTCTAATTCCACAACCGAATACATGATAAATGATATGCAGCTTTTGTGCATATACATGTTTGTGTGAAAATAATTACTAGACTGGTGATTATGTGTGGACTTTATGTTATAGTTTTGTTGAAGTTATATTTTTGAATACTGTTTGAGTTAAGAAATTATAGGATATTATATGGATTAATGTCCCGAAAGAATTCTTTCATGTTGGTGGTTTGATTTTGTTTAGCAGCCTATCAACTTATAGGTTATTTAATGCTGAAATCTAAATATTTTGAACATGGCTTCAACTACAGATGAAATATATTGAGGGTCATTTTGCTATAAAAATGTATTGTGGGTCATTCTACTATAAATATGTATTGTTGGTAAAATTTTTTTATATACAATAAGATATTGCTGGTATTTTTACTTTCATCGCGTTTGGGTATTCACTACTTGCCCATAGCTGGAGTCCTAACAGATGCTACCATGCTGGATCAGGATGGACCTGAGAAAAACAGCAGTTAAGAGGTGGCTCTAACACTCCTCAAAATCTCCAATCTCTGAATCCGAGGTCTTACTGCTGGATGTAGTTTATTGTCATACTCAGGACTAACAGACATCTGCAGAAAGCCTTTTTCGTGTGTTTGGAGAGGGTTCAAACGTTAATAACAACAAAGATGAGGATATTAGACTAAATGTAAATAATGTGCATAAAATTAACAGCAAAAAAAAAAAAAAGAAAAAAAGGTAAACAGAGAAAGCAAAGTGGCTTACCTTGGTTCTACAGGTAGAGATAGTGATAAGATTCCTTTTCCAGTACCAATTCCAGCTAATTCGGCTACATTTCCTGCCCAAGGTCCGGCACAGTTGATCACAATAGCAAACTGAGATTGGTAAATCTCACCTTCACTTTTTATCTACAAAAATCAAATCAATAAGTTCAGAAGATGAACATGTCCTTCATGCTGTTATCAAAAGATTTCAGCCAATCCATTCTACAGTCTTCTTCAGATTTATAACGTCTAAGAAAAGAGAAGAGTCTCTTTTTTGTTTATGACGAGATGCTTTCTCATTTATCAACTAGAAGGAGTGCCTTGATGTGGTGTAATGGTTAGTAAGCTTGTCTTGCTAGAAAAGTTAAGACCGAGTAGTGAGTTTGATTCTCACTGGCTGCCCCATACTGTTGACCTTGTGCTACATTTAAGCTATGCTTACAAGATCAATATTTGATGCACCTCAACATGGTGTAATGGTTAGCAAGCTTGGCTCACCAGAATGAGGATTCTTAACTGGTGGGAAATTCCCCACTGGGGGGGAATTTCAGGGGAAGGAATTGAAGCCACAGATTGGTAGACTCAAAATGTTAACTTTCAAACTCCCCAAGGCGGCATAACCCGCAATGTGCATCAGTCTGCACAACTGAGAGAAAGAAAACCTAGTTTATATGGATTATTTTTATAGACTCTATAAAAATAATCCATGTAAATGTATAAGGGGAATAGAATGAAGATTTTCAATAATATATGCATATTATTTGTAATGGACCTTTGGAGTTGGATAATCTTGGAAAGAGTGGGGGTGAAATTCCAATATATGGTGAAAAGGATGCATTGGGTAAAAAGGTTTGAGAACCATTGCACTAGTGAGTTTGATCTTCATTGGATGCCTCATACATTTGGCCTTGTGCCACATCTAAGCTACTCTTAGAAAATCATTCGGGATCCTCGATGGGGTGTAATGCTTAGCAAGCTTGCCTCACTAGAACAATTATGACTGAGTAGTGAGTTCGAACCACATCTAAGCTATGTTTAAAAAATCACCATATATTAACCAGAAGTGTTTACTGTAACAATGGTGGATACACATATGAGATACCAGAGATAATTTTTTATAATAATGTTCATCCTGTACAAAGCCCAAGAGCCACTTGAGGTAGAGGGTTAAAGAGTAAGAGGTACAGTTTATGGTGATATGTCAGAAAGATAACAGTTAATACTAGACTCAAACAGGTTAAGTTGTAGTGATCTTGGAAGCATCCTCTTGGATATGTTATATATATATATATATATGTGTGTGTGTGTGTGTGTGTGAAAATATATATAAAATAGGAAAGAACTTGTTAGGTAAATAATCCAAAGTTCTTTAGTATTTTTTAAACAATAGACATGAGTTAATGGTTTTTTGCCGACATCATCAAATTTTGATTGAATAATTAGCATAAGAAACAAACAAACAATAAAATAGTAAATACAAATTTTAAACTCCATAGTCTAAATAGTTTAAAAGCCCTACCCAATAATAAAAAAAAAAAGCCCTACCCAATAATAAAAAAAAAAAAAAAAAACCTTTATGAAGTTGTCAAAAAAAAACAAATGTTAGCAAATTATGAGTTTTTTTTATATACACAAAACCCTTTCAGGAAAAAAAAAATAAAATAAAAAAAATAAATAAATTTCCATTGACACTTAACCAAACTAGACGATGTCATCTTCCACTTTGAATTTTGACACCCCCAACCTTACCCTGACTTGATCTCTTTGAATGTAACTGAGATATTGATACAAATTATTAACCCTTACGCCCCTTTTTTTTTAAATAATTGCTCTGTCCGTTACCATAGTTATTTTAATTTTAATAATGAATATGCTTATAAAAACACGTAAATTTCAAGAATTAGTTATTCCAAAAAAAAAAAAAAATATTTCACTTGAAGATGGAACAGAGCTTGGTACTTTAATTCAATTTAATTCAAATTATTATATTGATGTTTTCGGCTCTTGTTTTGAAACATGAGAACTCTTATGTAGCGATGGAATCATATTTTTAAATAAATAAATAATTATATATATATATATATATATATATATATATATATATATATATATATACATATTATATATCTTACTTATTATAAAACGCAGATTGTGTGTGTGTGTATGTGTCTGTAACGTTTATATATTGGATGGATTTCCTACATTTTTCAACCGATTTCAACAAAACTTCACAGGACTACATAAAATTACCTTGTGGTGGTTCTAACAGCGCCAAAATGGGGAAAAATATAATTGTTTTTTGCACAAAATCAATTTGAAAACACAATTAAGAGACATCGTGAAAATGGAAGGGGACAACTCACATCGGATTGTTTTGTGTGTGGGTTCCTTTAAATATGGGAGCGGATTTCCTATATTTTTCAGACGATAAAACAAAACTTCACTTTTTTTTTTTTTTTTTTTTTTGGCAGGTAGTGTTTCTTATTCTCTTGCACACTTTTTTCTTTATTTTTAACATTCAGAATGCTTTAAAAATTCCATTTACAAGACAATTGTTTATAAAATTCTATTCAATCGGGAGACTCATAACGATTGAAAACAATGTTTTTGTCTGAGTTTGGGTTTGACCAATTCGTAAAAAAAAAAAAAAACTACTTAAGACATGCGTGTCCGTCAACCTTAAACAATAATCTAACGATCTCTACTGATTGTACGATACAAACATCAGAATAAATTCTTTATCTTTAGGGAAAGATAATGAAATCTAAACATACACAAGTCCTAACTAAAAGTAATAACCGGAATGGGAAACTACTTTAAATACACATTGTGTCCAATTTTTTTACTGTATTCAATAAGTAAAAATCATAAATTGTAAAAGATTATTATATATTACAGAGAAGGCTACTAAATGAATAAGATTTGTTAGATCATAATTAATAAACCCAAATAAAGTTAATATTTTTTGTATTAGAAACAACAGTGGAAAATATATTCAAATCCAATTCTAATTATGAATCACCACAAGCAAAATATGCAATTTTATTACTGTATTCAATAAGTAAAAATCATAAATTGTAAAACTAAAAATTACAGAAAGGCTACCTACATTTTTCAACCGATTTCAACAAAACTTCATTTTTTTTTTTTTTTTTTTGGCATGTAGTGTTTCTTATTGTCTTGCACACTTTTTTTCTTTATTTTACATTCAGAATGATTTAAAAATTCCATTTACAAGACAATTGTTTATAAAATTCTATTCAATCGGGAGACTCATAACGATTGAAAACAATGTTTTTGTTTGAGTTTGACCAATTCGTAGAAAAAAAAAAAAAAAAAAAAACTACTTAAGACATGCGTGTCCGTCAACCTTAAACAATAATCTTTGTCAATTTTATTTTTCAGTCTTTATGATGGTGGATACTTGATCTATCTCTTACTGTTATATCCCCGGCAACGCCGGAGCTCTACTAGTATATATAATATATATATATATATATATATATATATATATATATAATTATTTATTAAAAGAAATATGTTGCTAATTATTTTACTATAGAAATACAATGCAAATGAAGAAAAATCAGTAGTCATGAACCAAAGTAAGCAAAATTGACAGAACAGACTTATTGGTCTCATTGATAACTAATCAATTAATGAAGCAGTTAATTAGCTAATAAACCAACATAACCAATAAAATACAAATTGCATATTAATGGCTCACAGAAGAGATATAGTGGAGTAATGGATAGTGGCTCAGATTGAGGAATTGGATAGCCGAATTCAAATTACATTTGAGTTTGTAATTACATTCAGTTATATGCAAGTAACCTTGGGAAAGGTATGACTTCATTTCTTCTCCTCTGAACTATGGGTAAAAAGCAGGACAGACTGAGTACCTTAGCCTTGATTGGCAACTGGTCTAGGAGGACAATCCAACATCTGAGTGGTTGGCAACTAAACTGGCTCCCTGATCTGGTGAGGAGGGTAAGAGGAACCCCAGCAGCACAAGAAATGTACTGTGAAAGGGCAGATGAACTCAGAGCCAATGGCCATTGGCCCCCAACTGTGGATTAAATAACCTCACCAACCTGCAATTGGCCAAGTGTGGTGAGTATGGCTAAACCTCTGGAGACATGATCCATCAGGGAGGGGTTCCTCTAACAGGAATGAGAAGGCTCTGGATTTGGCTCTCATGTCCACACCCATTTGTTATCCCAGGTTTTTTTAATTTCTCCTCCACTTTGAATTTTCAATAGTGGCAACAACTAAAATGGATAGCACATCTAACTTGAAGAGAAAATAATGACATAATCAAGATACTGATGTTTCACAACACTTCAAACAAAAGGTTAGGAAGGAAACGCTCATCAATACTGAAAAGAGCTATAACAGCTACTGGACTTGAGAAATCTATTTTCTTGAAAAATTGTTTTAAGAGAATGAGTTTATAAATTTCAGCTGACAGTGACACTGGCTGTTCAGTCAATGAATGCTGAATGTTTTTGTATAAGGAAACAGCTCATATTGAAATTACCTGCACAGAATTGATGCTTTCTCGATCTTCATAGCCATCCGTTCCAGCTACTCTGTAGGTTTGTTTATCGAAGCCAATTACTTCACCATTGACATATTTAACACCAAGGGACAAGTTCTTCTGTTTCATGGCCCGAATTAGTGTCCATGGATCAAACCAACCTTCGCCTTCTAATCCTGCAGAGGTAAATAAAAAACAAAGAAATGCTTAAGAAATCAATGTTCACTTATATATATATATATATATATATATATATATATATATATATATATATATATTTTAAATAAGCATAATTTTATGTTCATTTTTTTTTTTTTTTAAATATCTGGACCTAGGCTGCCTTTCAGCCAACACATCATCAGGGACCAATTGTTGGCAACTTTTAACTCATTTGAATTGATAAGAGATAGTACTGGAACCTGCTTAAAATTACGAAACACGTAAAATTAAGAAAAAAAAAACAAATAATTTTAAATTTAAGGTCTCTGCGTCAGTGTAAGAATGTCAGGTACAAAAATTAAATACATTGAAAGATCAGAAGGTGATGCACAAGGTCCATCATCCACCAGTGAAAGCAGTAGCCAATATCAGCTGAGTGCCTCAGAGGAGTCAATATTAAATAAGGGTCCCAACTTTGCCACAACCATCAAGTGAGTTCCATACTTGGATATCATTGCTAGAATTGAGGAAGTTCATTCCCTCAGGCTGAGGCGGATGAACTGAGATGGAAGGTGAGATGGACCCTGGAGAAAGCCAAGCCATCCAGGTCAAACATCACAAAGTTGGAGAGGCTGGCAATCAGATCCCTGCAGAGGAATGAAAACATCATCATACTACCAGCTAACAAAGGCAATGCAACTGTAATGATGGACAAATCAGATTATACAGGAAAGCTGGAAGACCTCATTAGAAATGGTAGCTACAGCAAAGTAAATAAAGGATCCTACAATGAAAATGGAACGCAAACTGTCACAAATACTAATCAAGAACAAGGATCACTTCACACCTAAGATGTATAGGCAGTTGTCATAGTGTTACACCAAGATATCTCACATATACGATCTCCCTAAGATTCACAAAGACAATATTCCGCTCAGGCCGATGGTTAGCTGCCAAGGTTCTGTGTGTCACCCTCTGAGTCACTTCCTTGTAGATCTAATTGACCTATTGATTGGAAAGACACCTTCATATGTCCGAAACTCCACCCACTTTGTGGAAATAATCAAAGATGCCCCCATCCTATTCAACCAGATGGTGAGCCTGGATATGATGAGTTTGTTCACCAAGGTACCCGCGGAGGAGGCACTCTCAGTAGTCAGAGACAGATTAGCCTCTGACTCATCCCTAGAAGAATGGACCAGTATTCCAATAGATAATCTAATGGAGATGTTGACCTTCTGTACACAAACAACACACTTCGGAATGGGATCACACATATATCAACAGGATGAGGGCCTAGAAATGGGTTTGCCATTATCACCAGCAATGGCAAATCAATACGTGTAATACTTTGAGGAAATGGCATTAGAATCTATATCTGTAAGGCCAACTATGGTTAAGATACGTAGATGACACCCTCATACTCTGGCCACGCCAAGAAGATGTCCAGGTTCTACTGGACCATGTGAACTCAATAAGGCCTTCGATACAGTTCATGATGAAGAAAGAGAGTAACAACACACTCTCATTCCTGGATGTTCTAATTCTTGAACAGAGCATGGGTTCAAGACATCTGTATACCACAAACTGACATTCACTGGACAGTACCTCAATTTCAACTCCCACCATCCATACAGCGTAAAGAAAGGGATCGTCCGCTGCTGACAACACTGAGCAAAAGTCATGTGACGACCCAGAGATATTAGATAAAGAATTGGACAGTATAAGCAGTACCCTACAATGTAACAACTACCCTGGGTACATGGCAGCAGCCTCAGTAAACTGGTATAGGTGGGTACAAGAGGAGGACAACAATACTCAGAAAACAGTCTCCCTGCCTTATGTGAAGGGGTTATTGGAGAAAATACAAAGGATCTGCAGTCCATATAACATCAGGACAACCTTCAAAAGTTGGACAACACTTCGCAGATACCTCTCCCGAGTAAGACACCCCCATAGAGGAGAACATGACTAAAGACTGTGTGTATGCCATCCCATGCAGCTGTGGCTGAAACGTTGTGAGAAATATGGCAGCATAAATGAGGACAATAGTACAAATAATGTAAATAATGTATTTTACTGTCTGATACCAAAATACCAAATTGATTGGGAGAAACTGCAGTAGCAGAAAGGTTGGTTTTCTATATATTTTATGTCTTAAATTGCTTTACATTTTTGTTTTTTGAAAATAGTATCGAGTGCTTTTTCATTAATTGAACCTTTTGACAAATATTGTTTTTTGTCAAAAGTTGGATATTTTGAATTGAATTGAATATATATATATATATATATATATATATATATATATATATATTATTTATATATATATTTTTATATTTTGAATTGAATTTATAAATATATATTTTTATTATAATTATTATTTTTTATTTTAATTTGATAAATTAATTATGTATGTATTTATTTTATATAATAGAAAGTCTTGATCTGTTTTCTTTGCATTTTAAAAAAAATTTTATGGTCCTGTATGTTGGCTCAGGAAAGAATTATTTAAGAAAAGAGATGTTTGAAAAAATCCAGGATGTAAGTTAACATTTTGGGAAGAATCAATAGTTGCACTATCAAGAACCAAGTTATTTTCTCTTTTAATAAGTGTGCCATTCTTAAGATCGAAGTTGTGGTTGAACCTTTTTGTGTATATCTAATGCATTTGGTAAATTATTATGCATGATATTTTTTATGTGTTCCAAAATACACTTTTTACATTTCTGCAAGTTTCCCCAATATATTGTAAGGAACAATTGTGACAGTTTATTTTATATATATCTACTTCAGAATTATTACTTCAGATATTTTTGGTTCTGATCATATCCATTATAGCTTTGGATGTTGTCATAATTATTTTGATATTGTTAAGATTGTATAAACAGTTTTTAATAGTAGATGTTAAGGAGTTAGTAGGTAGTATTATATGTCTGTTTTTATCTAGTTTATTGTTATTAATGTCATTATCTTTTTTGTAGTTGTAGATTTTGTATGCCTTTCTCTTGGCATTGTGGATGAAATAATGAGAATATTGGAGGCTTTTGAAACTGTTTTCTTTGCATATTTCATCTTCAGGTAAATATTGTGGGCTGTAGATTCTTAGTGTTCTTAAATAAAATCCTATAATTATTCCAGATTGTAGAAGAATACAGACCTTAGACTATACAAAACACTGACTTCAAGTTTTTGTATCCTAACAGACATTAAAAATTTCCAGAGAGCATGGAAACTTACCATAAGTTCCAAGTTCAATTCCTTGCAGATTTAACCATGGGAATTTACTTGCGAGTCTTTCACGGCTCATGAGCTCCACTTTAGCTCCAATGTCCCTGAAAATGAAAACAAAAAACTATAAAGGCTTATAAAAAGTATTTTTATTTTTTATACAGCCCTTTACTCAAAAGCTTATTTCATGTACTCGCCTAAAGTCAATTTATGACTCCAAAATAACATTAATATATATATATATATATATATATATATATATATATATATATAAAAAAAAAATATTTTCCTGTTTACAGCTGGGAGGAGAGGATGTGGATTAATACATTTCCCAAGGGTATTTGCATGTAAATGAATATAACAAACACAATGGGAATTGAACTCAGCTCTCCAATTAACAATTCTGAGCCATTATCCATTTCACCACACATATATCCAAGCAGTCACTCATTTAGGTACTGACCAAGCTTGATTATGCTCAACCTTGGTGATTTTTTGTGAACCGGTGTTTTATCATGATGTGGACATAAGCATGAAGGGGAAGAAAGATCAAGAATAAGAAAAAAAAAAAACATTTTGTATACTAAATTTTGCTTGATTCATTTTTTATGGCTTACCAACTTTTTACAGCTTATTTAAAGTCAGAAAATATTATTTTTAGACTGTAATAATTTTTGGAAGATAATAATGATGTACTGAGACAAATCATACTAATTAACCCATAGCTGGGGAGAGAACAGGTTGATTCATACCTTTCCCAAGGGTATTTGCACTTATGTGAATATAACATATCCAATGGGAATTGGAACCAAGCTCTTCAATTTGCAATTCTGAGCTGTTATCCATTACACCACCCACACCTCCAAACTTATAGTATTCCCAAGTGGTCGCCCATCTAGGTACTGGACAGGCTCAATGTTGCTTAACTTTAGTGATCATATGGGAACTGGTATTTTAATGTAAGCCAATAATGAAAGATGCCTTCCAAAAGTTAAGTTATTGATTATGCAGCTTTAAAATTTAAAACGGAAAAAAACCACTAGTAATCAAAAACTCAGAAGAACAAGAATCACCAAAAGATCGATGTAAATAATCTTCATAAATATGATTATGATTGCATGGGAACCAATGTTTCAATGTGATAGGGCCATAAGCTGCCAAGATTGTACGTGATCGGGGAAGCATCCTCTTTTCTACAAAATAGCAGTTCTTGGGAATTCAGAGAGAATGGGGCCAATTCATCTTAGTGTACATGGCATGGTGGGTCTTTGATGTGAATGCCTGAACTGGTGAAACTAATGAATGTAGCTCATCAGAACATTTAAGGTGGAAATAGTAATATAGTAGCAAGTGGTTAGCAACGTTTTCTCTGTGGAATAGAGTTTGTAGGGTGGGAATTAATTTATCAACCACAAGGCTGCATAGATATTTTTGGAGTCTACCGGGACTGAAAAGAGAGGACTGGGCAGCACAAGCTCAGATATAGCAGTAGCTGATGAAACTTTTGCCAAAAGTGGGAAGGTTAGGCATGTACATCTATGAACACAAAAGAGTTTATTCACTTTATTAATTTTTTCAGTGTAGTGAAAGAGAAAGTCACTCACTGAGAAAAAGAACATGAATGTCCTGTATGATATGCTGAAGACAAAATAATCAAAATAGAAACAAGTCAGTTGCAGGTGTTGCCATAAATGCATCTTGGATATGCTAATATTGTGTGTCCTCTCCGACCTGTCGACCAATGAAAAAATTCTTCCATGGATAAAAGTGGTTAGTGTTCTTGAATTAGAGAATATTTTATTTTTTTCTACCTTGTCTTTTTGGGTTGCATGCTGGATTTCTGACCATTTACATGTATTGAGATTTGTGACATTGGACCTGCGATTCGTGATTTTGACATTTCTTTCTACCCCTGGATCTTCAAGTTTGGCTATTTGTTTATTTCTTTATGGAATTGAGCTGTCATATCATTTTTTGAACATTTAGTTCCCAGGACATGATGACTCACATATTTGGCAGCAGTTGGTTAAATCATAAGGTAGTTTTATTTCTTGTTCTGCTTTTCTTTCTCTCAAGGCTTATGGCCATATCACATTGAAACATTGGTTCATATCTGATCACTGAATTTAAGCAATGTCAAGCCTGGTCAGTACTGCTTGGGAATACTAGGTGCTGTAAGCTTGGATGTGCAGGTGGTGTAATGGGTAAGAGCTGGCAACTGGAAATCGGAGAGCCAAGTTCCAATTCCAGTTGGATTCATTATATTCACTTATGCACAAATAGCCTTGGGAAAGGTATGAATCCACCTCATCTTCCTCCAGCTATGGGTTAAATAATTTTAAAATATTTCCTGGCTTTAAATAACCGACTAAGGGTTGATAAACCAAAAAAAAAAAAAAAAAACCAAACCCAAATCAATTAATCTTGTTCTCAATCCAAGCATACCCAAATAAACAAGGTTGTTTTAAAAGGCATTTTATAAGACAGTTTTTTCTTTCATAACTGGATTATTAGCAGCTTGCCTGACATATCCAACTCTAGCAAAGCTTTCGAAAGAACAATGGGATCTTTTCATATCTGTTAACTGGGGCAAGGAATGCCTTGTTACTTTTAATACCTCCAAAAGGAAACTACTTGCTTCTGGTCATCTGAGAGAATCCTTTCTGCCTTCCATCAGTATGGCTGGAGCTAACCTTCAGAAGAGTGAATAATTGAGCCTTCTCAGGTTAACGTTTTCCACTGAGAAGTGAAAAGATTATATTGTATCAATTGCTAGGTTTGCTGCTAGGAAAACAATTTTTCTCACCAGAATCTATCTTATACGTTTACAAGTCTACCATTTGTTCATGCATTGAATATTGCAACCACATCTGGTCTGGTGCTTCTGTTAAATATTTAGAGATTCTTGATAAAATCTAATGAAGAATATGCAATGTTATTGATCCTGACCTGGCATCTTGGCTTCAATCACTTTTCCAATGCTGTAATGTAGCTTTCCTTTTTTAAAAATATTTTCCTCTTTAATATCTAGACTTTATGAATTTAAATGTACTATTAGACTGACAGCAAGATCTTATCATTTTATCATTGAAATGGTTAGATGTAATTGTAAATTCTATGCTAACAGTTTCTTCTCTCACACTTATTTATTTGCAGATTTCTCTTCTGGTTTCTTGCTTTCTAGTTGAGTTTGATCTTCAAAAATATAAATCCAATGCCAATGTTATCTTCTGTCTTAATTCCTGTTCATTGCTCTCTCTCTCTCTTTAATTATGTTTTCTCTTTCTCATATTCTCTCACTTGCATCTTTGTGGTTTTATTGCCTTGCTTGAGGTGAAATGAATAAAAAAAAAAAAAAAAAAAAAAAATGACATGAAACCCAAAATGTTTACCTTTGCATCTTAGCATTTCTCACAAGCTGTTCTGCACCTTCAGGGGATGCCAAGAAGAGGTACCCTTGAAGGTTAAATTGAATATCAGGAGGATCCATGTCTAAAAAAAAAAAAAAAAAAAAAAAAGAAAAAAATAGCAAGCATAAATTAAAAGAAAAAAAAACAGAAAAATATATAAAAAAACATTTTGTGAAATGATTTTAACAATTTAATGACATCAATTTTAAATCAAATTAATGGTTAAACTTTTCCCCCCACAAACAGAGTAGTCCCCACTTATCTATGGGTTATATGTTGCAGCTGATACCTGAGACTGTAGTATTGAACTATATAAATGATAAAATATAGTTTTAAGTTATTCTATATTTATGGGTTAAAGAGCTCAATATCAGGGATTGAGCATATGTAAATATAAAAGCAGACATTTATTGGTTTGGTTTGTTTAACAGCATATCAACTCCTTATGGGTCATTTAATTTTGAAATTTAATTTTCCTTGAGAGCTTTGGTAATTTTTTTTTACTATTAAAATCTATTACTGGAAATGTTTACTATAAAAATGTACTTTTATACTTTCATAGTATTTTAACCTGTTTGGGGGTTCACTATTTGCCCAGAGCTGGGACCCTAACGGGTGCTACCACTCCAGGTCAGGGTGAATCTGGAGAACAACAGCAATTACGAGGTGGTTCCTTGCTCCTCAAAACCTCCCAATCAGAGGCCTTGCTGCCAGATGTAGTTTATAGTCATACTCAGGATGTGTGGACATTGAAGCCAACATTCAATCGCTGTATACTTTTTATATATATATATATATATATATATATATATATACATACACACATACATACGATGTGTAAATTGTTGCCATTTTTAATTTCATTCATGGGTATTGTTTGTTTTTTGATTTTGTTGACTGCACAGTAATAGCAGAGTCAGTTGGGCAATGTCTGTGAGAAAAAGTGCACCATGACACAATTCACTCCACCAGAAATTTGGAAACAGCATGCTGTACTGCTTGGCATTTGTGCTGGAAGCTCTAATATGGACATTTCAGAGTATTTGGGTGTCAATCTGAGGACAGTGCGGAGGATTTGGAAAGAGCTGGAGGAGTCTAATATTATAAAGGTGTTTGGAGTGATCACTAGTGATAGTGACATTATGCCCCCATTTATCTTCCTACAGGGGCTCAGACTCAACATGGAGGCCTACATCAAGTGTCTTGAGGAGTATGTGTTGTTCTGAGTCAATAGGGTGGCTGCTGGAAGACCCTATGTCTGGCAACAGGACTCTGCACCATGTCACACAAGCAGGAGAACCTAGTCATGACAGTCAGACAATTTCTGCAACCACATCACCCCTTACATCTGTTCACCTAACTCCCCAGTCTGCAACTCCCTTGATTATTATGTATGGGTCTCAGTTGAGTGAGAGAGCAACAAAACTCCTTGTAACACCAAAAATGAACTGAAGGCAAGGATTATGGCAGCATTCACAAACTTAAGCAGGGAGAACGTCCAGAAGAGATGCAGGAGATTTTTGTCTGGAGGCCATGTTTGAAGCCAATGGTGATTTTATGGAATAAATTTACTTTCAGTATTTCAAGATATTTTTGTTTAATTTTGGTAAATGTATCTGTTAAAATGTGATGTCAGTGTTATATTCATTGTTGCATCATTTATCCATTGCACTCTGTATATACACTGTTTTTTCTGTGCATATATATAAAGTTTATAAATTAGGCACAAAAAGAGATTAATGGTCAATAATAGAACAATTCTAACAATATACTGTAATAAAAATTATGTTACATACGGAAGGTTTGTTCTTACCATAGATTGAATTAGGCACAATATGAGATGAACTGTTGTGTAGGAAACCTACCACCCCTCTTGAAGATGAACTTGTCTACAAACAAAGACTTTAAATAATGGCATGTCAAAAGACAGAGACGGAGAAGTTCTTGGCTGAGCTAGTTATAGACTACTCAGGCGATTTCTGTACCTACTTACCAACCTAATAAGCCCTTTTTATTGTTACGTGTTATTTGGCGTTTGTCTCTACTAACCCCAAATCAACATCATAACATGAACTAATAATAAAATAGAACAATTAACAATAGTAACAGTAGATTGATTGATTTGTTTTTTACTGTTTATCAACCTTTTGTGGATTATTTAAAGCTGAAACATTTTGGATTGTAAGGATAATTCTTTTTTTGCAAGTGAATATTGCATCAACAGTTTTTTTGCGAATACCAATAATTTTTCTAGATACATGTCCTACTATTTAATCCATAGCTGAGGAGAGGAGATAACTCCATACCTTTCCCAAGGGTATTTGTGCCTAAGTGACTGTAGCTGTTAGCACCAATCGGTATAGGAATGACTGCCAAATACAATCCTTTTGTGTGTTAACACTGTTCTTAGTTTGTGAACTTTTTTGACTTATTACTGTTGCTTTGCCTACTTTTGTCTTGCATACATTGTTTGCTTTGTATTAATTTGTACTGTTCTTGTTTTATGTTTATTTTTTATTGCAAACTTTGTCAGTTCTGTTTGTTTGCCATTTTTGTCAATTATATTTAATCATGGCAAATTACTCTACAGTAATGAACTCAACTGGAATTCAAACTTGTCTCTTCAATTTCTCCTTCCAAGTTAAACTCCATTACACCACCTGCATATCCTTGGTATTATTAGCTGTTTCCTTATGTTGAAATATTTGGCATTCATTGACTGAACAATTTGGGTGACATTTGGTCGAAATTACAAGTATTATCATGGTAATGGTTGTAATCTGCTTTCCTCTTTGGTATCTTATCTACACAAGTTCAAGTGCAGTACTAGATTGGCAGGTAGGTCTTATCATTTTACTGTGGAAATTACTAGTTGAAACTGTAAGTTCTATGCTAATAGTTTCATGTCTTTTACTTCTTGCTTTTGAAACTCTTTCAGCTTTTTGTTTTCTTGTCATCTGTGACCTTCAAGAATTTAAATGCAATGTTAATGCTCATTTTCTGTCTTCTTGAATCCTGTTCTTTTATTGTCGTCTCTTTCTTTCACTCTCAGCAAGCCCTTGCAACTTAATGGCATTTATCGCCTTGCTTGGGATGAAATGATTGGAAAAAGAAAAGAAAAAAAAGTGACATTTTCTGTGTTGAGCAAAGAGAAAAAATGTATTTAAATGATGGTCAATGTTTATGTTCATGTAGAAAACATCTTTCTACCATAATATTTTTTTTAATGTTTGAAAAAGATGTAATACATTTGATGATTGTATAATGAAGAAACAGCTGAGTAAACTTTAAAGACATGTCTAAAAATTTCCTAAGATTAGGAATTTTTGCATCATGATATTGGAATTAACCTATAATAAAAGTGTCATCTTTTCCAACTGGCTATTTTCCTGACTGGTGTTTGACAACTACCAATTTACCATCTCCTGTCAGTTTCTGTTTATTTAAATTTATGCTGGAAAGGTGAATTGGTTGGAAAAAAATGTTAGGGGACAAAATTAAGAAAAGAAAGAAAAAACAAAACAGTAATGAATCGTGTCCAAAAATGGAAATAAATAGACTTTTTAAAAAATTTACAAAGAGAATGGCAATTTTCGTTTGCTTACCCAAAACGCTTAAATGTTGTTTGATATTCCGGAGAAACTCAGATGTGAACATAGATAGCTGAACATTCTCCGGGAGGGAAAACTGGTGTCGGATACCTCCAACTGACAGGACACTTGCAGCACGAGTATACTGTAAGTAGAGAGAAAATTAAGTCAGATGAGATTCGGTAGCATGAAGCTTGCCATTACCAATTTGGCCATGGGAGATTGTCATGATCAGGGGTTTCCAATGTTTTTTTTTTGTGTCATCGCTCACTTTTGCATGGAAAAATTTTCCAATGCCTACCTGTAGAGTAAATGTTCAACAGCATACCAAAATTGTTTGGTAAAAATTTGTTACTGTCTTTGTAAACTGACTTTATGATGTAGTAAAAAATACCAAAGGGCAGTAACAAATAATATTGACTTAAGCAACTATAGATGCTACTACCACATTAACCCATTACCTGCCATGAGCCCCATTTGGGGATCTGTTAAAATTAAACTCACTACATGTTATTCCTTGTATTTACATTGAATTGCTTACATACATTGCATTTGCAGATGTATATTTTAAAACACTTAGCCTTTAAAGTTTTTATTATTAACTGTAAGAAGAAAATTTCTGTCGTAATTTTACATTTCACAAGTAGAAAAATAATGACTATTTTGAAAAGTATTTTTTTTATTATTTCTTATCAATATTATTTTTTGATGTTTTATACACATATATATTTGATGTTCTAGTTTCTATAAAAACAACAATGGTAACAACTGAAATTAAATATAAGGAATAAATAAACTCCTAAGACAACTTTCTGGGCCAAAAATGCACATTAAAAAAATTTGGCAGGTAATGGGTTAAAAAACAGATGAAAGAAAACTTGTCAATGAAAAGTCTATAGCAAATACCAAAATATTTCTTGTCTTGGGGGATATTTATATCTTATCTTGGAATGAGATACAGTTATTTCCATTATATCATTAACCCCCTGTTTTTTTTTATACAGGTTCTTTGCATAACACTTTTGAATAGCTTTGGGGGGGTAGCTTATCTTGAAATATCTTTTTAATACTCAAAATCTTATATCACCCACTATTTTCTGTTCAGTTGCTCATTGCACACCTAACAGTTGAAATCGCTCACTGGCGGTTGATATCACCCAGGTTGGTTTGGTTTGGTTTGTTTTATGGTATATCAACATCAATGGGTTATTTAATGCTGACAAAATTTATTTTGTTGGTAATATTTTGTTTTTGTCAAAACTTTATTTCTGGTAATATTTTTCCTTCAAAAGTATATTGCTGGTAATAGTTTTTTTTTTCTACAAAAATTTACTGCTGGTAATCATTTTTTACAAAGTATTTCTGGTATTAAAACCTATTTTTACACTGTGTTTTTACTACAGTTTCGGGGTTAACGGTTTGCCCATAGCTGGGACCCTAACAGGTGCTACCACTCCGGGTCAGGGTGGTCCTGGGAACACCAGCAATTAAAAGGTGGTTTCACACTTCTCAAAACCTCCTGTTCAGAGGCCTTGCTTTTGGATGTAGTTCATCGTCTTACCCAGGACACGGATGTAGTTTATCGTCATACCCAGGATGGCGCCCAGGTTGGGAAACCCTGGTTATGATAAAACAAAGATTAATTACCTACTTAAGGAATATGCACGTCTCTTTGGAACTTCTTCAAATCTGCATCTGCTAGCTTTATTTTCACACCTGGTACATAAACCCAGTAATTTTTTAATATATATTTTTTTAATCTCACATTTATTACTATAAATGTTATTTTTAGTAGGTACATGTGTTTGAGCTGACACCTGTTTTTATTTTCTTTAAAAGTGAAATCAATAACTGGGCTAGATCGAGAAGTCCTACTAAAGAAAAATGTGCCCTCCTACAGGAATCAAACATGTATTCCTTTTTTCCGTCAGAAGGCAATTGAGACTTGACTTATCATGGTGGTCTCCTATAGCCTAATTGGTAGCAGCATGCTCCAGCAACATGAGTGGTTGCTAATGCCAAAAATAAAATAAAAATTTAGGTTAACCTAATCCACTCATAAAACCTTGAATTCTCAACTTACTGGAATTATTTTCATGGTTGCCAGGAAGCAATGCTGCAAGCCTTGCACTAACACTATTTCCATGGCAAATGTCCAGATGAGCTCCAATCTTTAATGCCACCAGTTCAGACTTTTACAGCTAGGACACACCGTGCCACTTCTACAAAGTTGAATCATCCTCATTTTCTCTGTATTCCAAATATAAAGAGAAAGTTCACTTTGACAACTCCCCTGCCCCAAGAACTGCCACTTTGTGAAACATATTCCTTCATAGATGCTTCCCTGAATGCTACAATCTTAACCTCTTCATGTTAAAAGTCAATCGTTATCTATCCTCCTTATCCTCATACTTTTCATTACCTAACACAACCTATTTCATTCATACCATTCAGTAACCTTCTACTATGAGTGGTTTCTCAGTATTGAACTGGGCGGGTGGAATTTCATATAAAAAACAAAAACAAGAAAAAAAAAAAAAAACACATAAACTGAATAAAATTGGAAAAAGAACAAATTTCAAAAGTAACAGCTGGTTACTAGTTTCTAAGTATGTTTCTGAATTTCATTGATTATTTTTACCACTTATAAACCTCTTGCAAGTTCTTTCCTAAGAATTTTTTTTAAAGATAATTGATTTACTGATACAAGTCCTACTAATTATACCCTAACTGGAGGGGGGGGAAGTGGGTTCATACCTTTCCCAAGGGTATTTGTACATAAGTGAATATAATGACCCTGACCATTAATTGGAACTTGGCTCTCTGATTTCCAACTCCAAGACATCCATTACACCACCAGCACATCCAAGCTTACAGCAGATTGTACCCATCTAGGTACTGACCATGTTTAATGTGGCTTAACTTTGGTTATTGTATGATAACTGGTGTTTCAACATAATATAGCCATAAATCTGTTGTTTGCTTAGATAGCTTGCTAGCAGTCATTTGAAACAGTGATGTTCTGCTCAGGAAAATTTGGGTTTCTTCAACAGTCATAGATCTGATCTGTGGTCTATACTACAACTATGCTAAGCAAACCTTTGTTACAGTTTTTGAGAGAGAGTGAATAATCTGGCATTATCAGTACTTGAACAAGGATAGTCATGATGTCTTGTGACTTTGTGCTTGTGTAAAGAAGTCTTGCTGGCAGAATAACTAAATCATTACTAACACATGAGTAAATCTCATATTGAACATAACGTTTGATTTCACTCCCATACTTCATCAGTCAGTGTGTTTGTGCAGCTCTGTGGTCAGACAGATCATACATTCTCGCTTACCATGTTTGAAAGATCCCCCCCATTAACTAGCGGTGCAATTGTTTATATACCTATCTCTATCAAGGGGTTCATTCCTGCACTTGCAACCCAGCTGGTCCACATGAGATTCTGCACTTGATTTCTCTGCTGTTGCACTGAGTGCAAACTATGTCCTGACATAGACACACATTACACACAAGCACTGATGTCATTTGAACAGTTCTGTCAGCCAAATTTCACTCACAAGGCTTTGATTGAGCTGTGGCATGGTCTCCAGGCACTTCCTAATGTTGCCACATGCTGGGATTGTCTCCACCAATCAATCAAGAATTCACTTCTATCACAGATTAACTATAGCGAGATTTGAACCCAGGACAGAATGTTAATGCACTGACCACTTGACTATATGTTGATATAAGGAGATAAAAAATGCTTAATATTTTATAAAAAAAAGTCATATACAAATCTATGCTATGCAACTTCAAAGAGATAAGTGGCTAAAGATCAAAAACTCACTAACAACTGAAACTAAATACCGGCTTCTCTAGGCCAATACGTTTATACTTTCTTCTCTTCTGTATATTCTGAGTAATGACATTTAACAAAATATTTAATAAAATGTATGAACTTTTATACCAGACATATGTCTGTTTCTAGGAACATTTCAAATCAGTTTACTATGAAAAGATATATCTACAGGAAATCGACTGGCATGATTACACACAAGAACTGGTAAAAATGAGCGTTTCACCCTAAGCAAGGCAACAAACCTACTAAGGGGTTACTGAACTTGAAAGAATATGGGAAAAAGAAAAATATTACTAATGAGAGAGAACAATAAAGAAACAGGAATTAAGAAGACTGAAGATAACGATTGACATTGCATTTAAATTTTTGAAGATTCAAGTTGACTGGGAAACAAGAAACCGGAAAAGAGTTCCACAAGCAAGATATGCAGGAGAAGAAACTGTTAGCATAAAACTTATGGTTACATCTAGCAATTTCAACAGTAGAATGAGGAGACCTTCTTGCTAATCTGGTACTATGCTTAAATTTGTAAAATCTAGGTACCATAGAGGAAAGTTCATTCGAACAATAATCATGAAAATATTTATAGAAAGGCACAGAGAAGCTATGTGGGAAAGTGACAGAAGCTGAGATGATAATATTGTAGATTCTTTTTCGGATTTTATCAAGAATCTTTAAGTATATAGCAGAAACACCAGAGCAGATGTGGCAGCAATATTCAATGCATGGCTGAGTGGTTGGCTTATGAATATGTAAGATAGATTCTTGTCTAGAATGACAAAGTAAACCAACTTCCTTAGCAGCAGATTTAGCAACTGACTCAATAAAATCTTTCCACTTCATGTCAGTGGAAAATGTTAGTCCTAAATAGCACAATGATTTACTCTCCTGGAGGTTAGCATCAGCCAGGCTGATGGAAGACAAAAAAAGATTTTCTAAGATGGTTAAAAAAAAAAAAGAAAAAAAAGAGAAGTTTCATTTTGGAGGCATTAAAATTAGCAAACCATTTCTTGCTCTAGTTAAGAGATTGTAGGTCATTTTTTTCAGATCAGCTGCTAATTTGATTTTATCGAACTGATCAGACTTACCATTAAGACAGGAATAATTAGTTGTGCTATCAGTATAGATATCAAGTTGAGAACTGAGGACATCAGGAAGGTTACTGATGAAAATTAGGAACAATGTATGACCAGGGATGGGGGAATTTGCATTAATGCAAAAAGTTTTCCCAACTCCCTAGAATGAAAATACAAGATGAGGAGCTAGGATTTTCCAACAAGGGAACCATGGACTCCCTCCTTTGGGACAAGTTCCCAATCAGAGTTCCATGGATCTACAAGACTGAATTAAGTTATTCATATGTAACAGATTATCATTCAAAAATGTTATATTGTCAATTCAAAATAACAGTTCAGTTAGAATTTTGGAGCGAAACAGAACTGTTTGCATTAATTAAGTACATATTTAAAAAAAGAAGCAAAATTTCTATGCAATTTTTAATAAGAATCGGTTCAAAAAATGCTTGACAAAAATATGTCACGTCAGTTAATGCAGGATATGTCCTTAAGTATTAAAATACTGCAGTAAAAATAAAAATAAATTTCATGCCATGTACATTGGGATGAAACATCTTCATTCCCTTTGTATTAGACAATTTGTTCCCAAGAGCTGCTGCTTTGTGGAACAGACTCCTGATAGTGTTGGATTTCAGTTGAGGAAGACCTTTGACCTCACTTCCACTGCATCAGAGAGTGAGCGTAAATTGGAATGGGTGATAGCATAAACAGGAAATAGTTAAAATAAACAGGATGCACAGGTTTCCTGAGCCTTGAATAAACAGGGCACAAAATATCCTGAGTGGAAGGAATTGTGTGGACACATGCTGGAAGGGGCATGGCCACATGAAGTTGCATAAGCAACATATTGGAAGAAGGCATAGCCACGTGAAGTTGCGTGGGTGTCCCAATGTTATAAAAACAATCCAACTCTTGGCCTGGCGGAGAGGCTGACTAGAGTTTGACTGAAGATTTTGTCTCCGTCAATTCCTGTGTGCACAATCCTAACCTCTGTGATTCTCTCTCACTCTATCCAACTGGCACAACTCAAACAATAAAGCTATTTTATATATATTTTATATATAAGGGATCATTGCCTTATTTGAGTCCAGCAGCAATATACAATAGGGTACTTCTCTAACCTCAACAATCTTAACCTTGTCAAGTCTTGGGTCAATTGTCAAACATTTCACATATCCACATAATCTACAATTCCTATTTCCATGAACAATCTCATTCAGTAACACTCTACCTTGAGTGGCTTTTGGGTCTTGTATTGGATGAACAATAGTGTTAAAAAAATTCAATTTTAAATATCACAATTATTGGAAGTTTAGTTACTATGTTTTGATCATGAATAATTACTAGTGCTGTTATATTAACACATACAGATAGTACCGAGTGGAACAGTTCTAATGTGGGTGTTCGCTTTACAGGACTAAAAAACAGGATTAAAACAGCCAAGGTCCACATTGTAAACTGAATGCAAAACTGGACTCTGATTATGTTTATTCAGATATGGTTGTGAAAGAAAAAACTCCAGTCAGTAAAGACATATAAAAACACTAACACTGTCAGTGTGGCAAAACATTCAGCTGGAATAAAATCGATATTTATTTAATTAGTATCTCAGACCCCTCCCTCCATTTTTTTTGTAACAGTGGCACAAAATTATGATATATTTTCACTGTTTATTAAGGGCACAAGATTGTAGGTTACCCCACTTCTCTGTTTTAAATCTTTTAAAAGAGGATCACAGCTAAGTATTCTCAGTTTGTGATGAACCAATTAAAATTGGCTCCAGAGTTGAGTACAAAATGATGCTTTCTGATTGGTCCATATGTAATAATGACATGTTTCTGCCTATGTCTGTACGGTTGACCTGTTCAGAGTTCAACATGCCAAAAATTGGTAAACATTCTTTTGGGCCTCTCACGTTATCAAGAAAGTTCATAAATATGAAACTTTGACACAACTTAGTGAGTCTTTAAAATAATCAACTTGTCACACAAATCCATGAAACCCAACTTCCTCACTAAAAGTTAATTTTTATTAACATCAACCTGGCTTGTGAAATTCAATTTCTTTTCAACATCAACTCATCTAGTGATCAATTTAACCAAGACAAGATTCATAAATCAACTCGATATCTTAACAACATAAAGGAAATCGTAACTATATCAGTCGAAGCAAGACAATTATACAGTAAGTTAAGCAATCTATTTCATTCAATTTCACCATCAACATAAACTGTTTAATTCCTTATCAGATCTGTAGCATAACATTTTTTATATTATCCTTGATTACACAACCAAGAACTCTAACGTTTTAAGCAACTTTATTATATCGTGTATACTTGTGATATATAAATAATATTTGTTAAAACAAATATCTGCCTATTTGATTATTTCTCTTGTTGTTGTTGTCTTTGTTGCATTTGATTTAGTAAAAATAGTAGAGGGTCAGTTTTTTGTCACTGATACAGATTAGCTAACCAACTACAACTGCAGCACTCTAAAATGGGGCACATGTTTATGTACTAATGTACATAACCTTGGAACACTAATGTAGTTTTATCATGTGTTATTTCATTTGACATTCGGTGGTGTTGTTCTTGTTTTTCTTTTTTCTTACTTTCTTTTTTTTTATGACGTGTCCCTTCAGGACGTATGCTATCATGGCTTTTCAACAGGTTTCTTTTATTTAGTGTGAATTCACACGGCATCCTGGGAAGTATCCTGTTGGCGTCCTAAAGGTTTTGAATTCAAAGGTGTTCTTCGTCTACACAGGCTGCCCCGCAAGGCTAGAGAGCGTAGTCTACTCTGCTAATTTAACTCATAGCGGGATTTCTTAAAAATAAAAATCATAGATTTAAAGAAAACGGAAAATTAACATGTCATCAAATTGTTGCTTGTAACAGCCACGAGAACCAAATGAGGAAACTATTTTTCTTCTCGTTTTTTTGATAAATTTATTTTTGCTGCTCAAACGTAACACCACAATCACATCTCCAGCACAGATAGTAAAACGTCGTCAAAGAGTAGCGTGTAAAAAGCGAAGAACAATCAACAACTGTTAAATGAGAAAGAGAGAAAGAAAAGATTCTTACCGAAGGATCCCTTTCCACGATTGTTATGGACATGGCTTTTGGGTTCCTTTGTTTTAACCAGTAGGCTACAGAGGAGCCAATTAGCCCTCCTCCAATGATTAGGATATCTGATTCTCGGGGTACCTTATTGTTGGATTCTGATGTAAAGTTTCCCTGTTTCAAAGCACGAAATTCCTCTTTTAAAACCTCCCATGGTGAACGGTGGGAACCAGCACGAGGAATAACTGGAAGTGGAGGTTTATCATCATGACTAGAAAATGTGCGTTGAAGAAATAAAGGTTGGGAGAAGATCCGACATAAATCACGGTAGCTGTTTCGGGCAATTCGCATATTTACAGTTAATGAGTAGAGTACTCACTTCTAAATAAAGAAATAGACGAAATTTTGATAGTGTGAATTAAACTTCCTGGTTTTTTTTTTTTTGATTTTGTAAATTGTGCTGTGTGATAATTTAACACCTAAATAAATAGATTTATGCCAAAGGTCATGCATACGCATGAGATTGAAAGTAGCGACTGGTAAAGTTAGGAGATTTTTTGGTTTTACACCGGCGGTGTTTAGTCACAAATTATGGTTATGCTTGACAGAATTTCTTTTTAAAAATGAACTCCTGGAATAATCATTGTATATTGGTTCACTTTATTTGAACTAATTTACTCGATTTTATTTTAAACAAAAATACAAATACACTTGAAGGTCATTATTACACTTTCGCATGACACTGTCGCCCACACGATGTTTTTTGTCTTCAGTTCTTTTTTAGTTAAAAAAACAAAAACAACAAAAAAAAAAAAACAACGAAAAAACAAATACGAATAGATTTCCCTTTTTTTCTTAATATTTATTTCATAATTTGTGGATTTTAATTTTAAATAATACATTTCATTTCTTTATCTTTCTGACATTCTTTTTAGAAACTTTTGACAGAAACTTTTTTTGAACCTTTTTAAAACCATTGCTAGTGTTTGTAAATTAAATTTAATTACAATTTGCAACAGTCCAACTGTTGTTTATATTGATTTTATGAAATTATATTAAAAAAAAAAACTGTTTTAAAAATAAGTTTCATTTTATTTTATAAATTTATCTAAGTGTGTTTTACTTTTTAGTGGGGAGAGCGAAGAAAGCGGCACCGTAAAGCAGTTGAAAAAAACGCTATTTTTTTACTCTTCCTTAGTTTTTTTTTTTTTTTTAATTAAGAAAAATGCGGTGGTCTCTGTAAAATATTGCAAATATTTGTCAACTCTTCGCTCTTTGCACACCAGCAACCATAAATTGTGTGGAAGCTATTTTGCAAGGATTCATAAAACAATCAAATAACGCTGTGGCATATGATGGATGATTAATTTGTAGAGTTTTTTTGTGCGTGTGTGTGTGGAATCAAAGCTTCAAAGACTTAGAATGATTTTTGGACATTAAATTGCCACCAGCCTTTCTAATGTCTTGAATTTGTATTAAATTGAAAACAACCTTTATTGATTGATTTTCTTAATTGACAACATAGTTTCCAGACGTTCATGCCATAATGCACCGGGGGTAAATAGGAATATCACCCACTTCACACTCTTCCCTGGTCTTTTGAATAAGAATAGTAAATCCCTTGAAACCTGTTTTGGATTGGATTTACGGTTCCTTCTAACGTTTTCTCATTTTCTTTCATTCCCAGTATCCCCTTGTGTCTTAGAAGCATTATCGCCTTGCTTGGGGTGAATTGCCTATATATATATATATGAAGAAATTTTGAAAAAACAAACAAAAATCCTTAAATGTAGTTAAAATGAAAGAAATGTCGACGTCTGACGTTTCGGTTTAATAAACCTTTTTCAAGACAATATTCATCAAAATACAATTCAGTTCAATATGACAAATACGATGGACATAAAAACACAAGTCTTATTCAGAACATATATATATATATATATATATATATATATATATAGTGCGATGGATAAATTGTCGTCTAAATTACACAAAAATGAAAATAACACAGACATCTCATGCTAACAGATATTAAATCACACAGAAATATCTTGAAATACTAAAATGTAAATTTATTCAATAAAATTGCCATTGGCTACAACCACGGCATCCAGACGACTTTGGAATCTCTTGCAACACTTATGGTTTCCTTGTTTAAGTTTGTGAATGCTGCCATAATCCTTGTCTTCAGTACATCCTTGGTGTTACAAGGAGTTTTGTTGGTCTCTGGCTCAACTAACCCCCCACCGCGTACATAATAATCAAGGGGGTTGTAGTCTGGGGAGTTAGGTGGCCAGATGTAAAGGGTGATGTGGTTGTAGAAATTGTCTGATAGCCATGATTGAGTTCTCCTGCTTATGTGGCATAGTGCAGAGTCATGTTGTCAGTTATCGGGTCTTCTAGCAGCCAGCGTCTTGACACAGGGCAGCACTACTCCCTCAAGGCACTTGATGTTGACCTCCGCGTTGAGTCTGAGACCCTGAAGATGAATGGAGGTATAACGTCACCATCACTAGTGATCACTTCAAACACCTTCGTAATCACCATTAGACTCATTCAACTCTTTCCGAATCCTCTGCACTGTCCTCAAATTGACATCTAAACACTCTGAAATATTCGTATTAGAGTTTCCGGCGCGAATGCCAAGCAGCATAGCACGCCGTTTCCAAATTTCTGGCGGAGTGCATTGCGTCATGGTGCTCTTTTTCTCACAGACGGTGCCCAACTGACCTTACTATACTGTGCAGTCGACAAAATCAAATACAAAAAACGCGCATGAGCGGAATTAAAAATATAAATGGCGACAATTTACCCATCGCACCCTGTATATATATATATATATATATATATATATATATATATATATATGGTGTTTTTGAAGTTAGTGGTGTTTAAAATATAATAGCGCCTTCTTCGCTTCTCACGCATCGTCTTCCGCAACGACTCATGTCTGGCTGAGTAGAATGTGTGGTGTCAGATTTTAGCAGTAAAAATAAATTTTTAAAGGATAGAATGAGAGAAAAAAAAACAAAAACAAAAGATGAGAAAGACAAGATTCCAAATTAAATATAATCGCAGCATTAAATAGTGACCCTGCTACACATTTTTTTATAAGTTGAAATTTCCCCAATTGTGTGACTATTCCAGGCAGTACTTAATATCCCGGGAGAAATAGACGCACAAATGTTAAAAAAAAAAAAAAAATGAAATGTATAAAAAATCATCAATAATCGATTAGCCAGATTTTTGTTGGCGTATCACAAGTCTCTTCTGATCAATCGGAAGTTACGTATTCACTTGGATCATGTTTTTTTTCTGATCCTTCTTTTAAGATGAGAGATAAACAACTACAACAGAAACGTCGTTAAACGGGGTGTTCTCTGATAGAGGCTCCGTGCCTTAAGCTTTTATTGGGACTTAAGTTCAAATGGTCAGTTCCCTGTACCGCTTCAGTACCTGACCCCTCTTGCTATCCTTTATTTTTACAAGAGGCAAATCAGGCCGAAGATGGCGTACTACAGAGCAGGAGCTGCCCAGTATTCCAATTAGAACGTCCTGTCATGAAGTTATCACTAAGTTCTAATGTCAAAGCCCTCATCTATTACTTTGAAATCATAGTAGAAGTTTTCACTATGACGTCTTGTAAATTAAAAACAGTAAAGCTCGCCAGAAAAAATCATTTTCGGCACTACAAAAGATATTCAAAATTGGCGTAACATTAACAAAACAATAATGAAATGATAAATAAAATTGTTTTCCAGCCAATAAAAAGCTTTAACAAATTAGAGAAACGCATCTATCCAGTCCATTTTTATGGGGGCAAGCCTTTTAAAAAGACATTTAATGAATTTCCCCTTTTTGCAGACTGACCTAGAGCAGTACAGAAGTCATGAGTCACGCCATTTCGTTCGCACAGCTTCCCTTACTACAATAGCAAAGAGAAAACCGGTGCTTCCTAACATAAAAAAATGACTTAAAGTGATATCTGATAACAATAAAAAAGAACCTTTTTTAAAAATTCAACCTTCATTCATATACTACTTCTGTTTGTTACTTTCAAATCAACCAAAACTCGACCGAATTTGCAATTAGCTGATTTCAAGGACTTTAATCCTACAGATCGAATTCATACGAAAATATATTTTGTTCCGTATACACAAAAGAAAGGAACGTTGGCAAACAAATTTTGAAACTACAAAGCAAATTAAGTATGTAAATAAATTTTTAATTTTTTATATGTCGATGTAATTTTTTTCCATTTTTGTCATCTAAATACAAATATTAGGAAGTTCCAACTCAACAAGTCCTATTTCCCAAACTTAGCAGACACCATACGCGCAAACGCTAGTGGCCACTTAAAACCATCAACTCAGTTAATACGTGACAACTGTCTCGCTAAATTAACATTATAATTTTTTATAAGAAAGAAATACAAAATAATTAAACGTTGAATATAAAATAATTAAAAATAATACTATACACTAAGTTTGTTTATTGATCTTTCTCTTGAGGGGAGAATATAAAAAAATATATAAAAATGTAAATTAAATAAATAATTAATAAAAAATTAACTCCCTACCAAATCTAAATTCTTGGGCTAAACGCAACAACCTAGTTAGCAGGAATAGAAAGTTTGTGGGTGAATAGGTTGTTTTTGTTATGCACATTGGCGGTCACCAAAATGTGGTGTCTCAGTCACATCATAGCAGCAGAAATTAGCCTCGTGTTCACAGAGATAAATGCATACTTGAAAGGAAATAAAACGTTCACAAATAATAGGAACGCATAGTAAATTGTATGTTAATTCCATACAATTTATTTATATATTTTGTGTGTATTGGTGAGTGAACTTTTTAAGTTGCAGTTGTTTTAAGGGAGAATTTACTCCGTAGTATTACAAGCCATATCACAGAGAGAAGTCGGACACATGTTGCCCGTACCAAGGTTCGTGGCGAAGAGATTGAATTTAACGTTTTTGGCGTGATGTCCGTATTTCCGACAGGAATAGTTTTTTTTTGCATGCTGAGAATATTTTTTATTATTTTTAATTTTTATTTAATTTATTTTATACAACGTTTTATGTTATTGCTTTATTTTATAAATTTCATTATTATTATTTTATATTTTATTTTTATTCATTTATTTATAATAATAATAATAATAATAATAATAATAATAATGATAATAATAATATCCATATACGTTGTATAAGGCGCAATCAAGACTCAAATCACTGTGTAACATTTTAAAGGATAAACATTTATTACAGTATACAGACATAGGAAAAATATAAATACAAATGGTCATTTGGGAATTCACTCCCGGATATGATTCAGGCCTTTCCATTGGACGACGAACAAACTTCGCGTCGGCTCACGAAAAGGTCCGTAAAATGATTTGTTTCTGAGAATTGAAGATTATTTGAATTTTGTTTTTAAATGTTTCCTAGTTTTCTATTGGCCGAAAAACATTGTAAATTCGAGTCTTTTTAATTTCTAACAAAATCAATGAGACAGTGCTTAGCATTTGAATTTTAAATCTAGATCTTGTTTTGTTCACTACACGCCCATGATGGTAAAAAGTGAAAGAGGCTGCACCCATGTCATCTTTTCAGGACTACATTCCGTGTTTTTCGTTTGGTCAAATAGGATTGTTGGACGTGTTTGAAGTTGAATTTTTATTGTCCTGTGTTAAGGCTTAATTGGCCAATAAAATTTCATTTTGGTTGGTTTAGAAATGTTTTTTTAAAGTCCATCTGTTGTCTGCAACAGGAAATTCTGACCTTCGTTTCAGCTTACTTGTGAACAGCAAACGATCAACTTCCGGTTGTAGTAGCTTCCACAAACTGCGAAAAGAGAATTAAAGTTATGTTGAGTTTAAATCATTCGTCACTTACAATTACATTTCAATGAATTCGTGTAGTATGGAAACAGCAAACTATATGGCTATAGAAACAAGTGTATGTTTAAGAATACAGTATTGCCCACTTCCCAATAACGGTGTTTGTTGCGTTTATAGAAGATAAAATCCTATATTTTACAACTTATAGGTGAAAAACAAATAAGTAAGAAACGACCACACGCAAATAGGATCAGAATCACTAAAACAAAACTTGTACAAATCAATAAAAAAAAGGATCCAAAATTAAATAAGTGGTTTCTGGAATTTGATTGGAGAGTATAGTCACATATTATGCTTCCGACTACGTCCGTACATTTGAACTCCTAATGAACTGCTCCCAGTGTGCTATCCCGCGTAAACCGAAAAGCTTTCGTTTGGAGCCAATCGCGTGATCAGGATAACTATATACACACCGGTTTCGGGGGCAATAAAAAAACACACACAAAAGTTGGACGTGGATCACCCGTCGATGACAGGCAGTTGGATCTGTAAACACCCAACCAGAATTCTCTCGTTACCATAACACTATCCCAGTCAGCGACGGCTACACGCCATTCAAAGGAATATTCACACAACTCAAAGAAACATTCATAGCCGTAAAAAATGTAAGTCCATGTCCATTTCTTTTCAGAATCAGATTTCACGTATTAGCACGCACACCGCGACGTTTCTACTAATGTGCTTCACCCCACCTCACACATCCAGTCAGCAGTCACGCATACGCCCCGTTAAAATATGCTTCAGACACATGCACATATATACGCACTTTATATTGACCAAGGCATATGACTTTACGAACTACCCTTTAATAAATGGAAAATTTTGTCAAACATTTGTACTTCGATTCTTTATGACCAGAACAAGCACAATGTTTACCATGCAAAAACAAATGTTAATATGTACATAATTATATTATTTCAATCTGGCTTTCCTTTTTGCCTATGCTAAAAAAATCATTTCTTTGTGTTATGTTGTATTTGTGGGTACGACACTCAGATTTTAATTTTTCACCTTTAATCCGGGTAGATTGACTCTACACATTTTTATTTATTGAAATAAATTAATAAAATAAAATAACTATTAATAACTATATTGAATAAAATGCGGAAAAACAAAAGCTCGTTCCGTTTGGAGATTTTAATGCGTCGCTAACCTTTTGGGACTACGATAGCGTGTGCCGTTATTTGTAATAAAGTACAAGAAAACTGAAAATGTGAGAAGTAATTACCTTCTTGCAAAGCACCAATATTTTTTTCTAATGGATCTAACCTCAGTTAACGCATAGGTTCACTCATTTATTATTTACCATTCGTAGCGAATAGGTGCCACTTACTATCTTAAGTTCAGTTAGGAAAGAAAAAAATATCAAATCAAAATTTGATATGTTAACGAGATGTGTTCCCGGGTCTTTATTCACTCAGTAACTAATGTTTCATTGACACCGATTTAATTCAAACATGGCCGTTCATCTAAGAAATCTATCGTCTATATGTAGACTGCGAACATGTTTTAGGCCTCCGTTGATATCATCTCTCTTCGTAGACTTTCCAACTCGACAAAACCAAAGAAAGGACTTTGCAAACATACCCCAACGAATATTATCCACTTCATCCACCAACTCAGAAAAATCGTACTTGGGTTGCTTACAACCCAAAATGTGTATAGCGTACACGTGCCGTGTTTGTGGCAGTCGATCAACAAAAACTTTTTCCAAAGTCTCCTACGAAAAAGGAGTTGTCATTGTGCGGTGTCCTGGCTGTAAAAATCTACATTTAATTGCAGATAATCTTGGCTATTTCAAAGATGTTGGTAAAACGTGAGTTATTTTTTGTTCCGTTTCAGATTTAAGGTTTTTATTTATGAAACGGGACGAATTTAATTGAAACACCGTTTCGTACGTTTGTCAGTTTAAGTTACAAAAAAACTAGTGAAACATGTTGACAATCAATATATAATACATGAGGGGTATATAAAAACAAAAATAATCCCCTTTACAGAAAATTCTTTGTAAATTAAATTTGGATTATCACTTTGTGGGTGAGCGTTTATGTTAACTTCTTGTTGAGAACGTAAAACTTTTTAAAACATATTTCGATCCTCTTCCTTGACCTTCAAAATCAATAGACCCTTGATTTATGTGTGGTCATTTTTATTTTAACACCCGAGCGCTAATATCCCTTCAAATTTTTCAAAAATAGTTTTATTTTCGTGCAAATGTATATGCTGAACTCAAATCAACAATTAGATATTGAAGAAACCTACCTTTTTGGATGTTAGTTAACGACCCCCAAAAAAATCGGACTTTTTCCTGGTCTTTCGTCAGCCTTTACCGGCTTATTGATAAGTAATTCAGTACTGAATTTTGTTGGTGGACGTATACAATTTGGGCCTACTTCCTTCACAGTAATTCCTTGTAGAAATTAGTACGCGCTTGCGTAAAGCGATTTTTTTTTTGGACTTAATTTAAGAAGAAAGTTAACTTTTATCGACAAATAAAAGAATAACAAAGTAATTTTTTTTTAAGAAGAAAGTTAACTTTCAAATTAGGGTTAGGTGTTTGTTTGTTTTTTTGGTTATTCTTTTATTTTTTTATTTTTTTTTCTAAGAAGAAACTTAACTTACATATTAGGGTTATGGGTATTTTTTTTTGGTTATTCTTTTATTTTTTTAATTTTTTTTTTCAAGAAGAAAGTTAACTTTCAAATTAGGGTTAGGTGTTTTTTTTCTTTTGTTATTCTTTTATTTGTCAATGTTTACATATATTTGAAAGTTAACTTTCTTCTTAAATTAAGTACAAAAAAAATCACTTTACGGAAGCGTGTACTAATTTCTGAAAGAAAATAGTTTAGCAGTGAATGACGCTCGGGTGTTAAAATGAAAATTTACCTTATGTGTTTGTAAAATATGCGCATATGATGGATATTTTTTTTTCATACTGTCATTAAAGAAAACAAGGTAAAAATTGTTTTTTTTACCCGTGCGTAGTAATTTTCTGCAAGGAAAGTCTGTAAAAGAAGTAAATAGGCCAAATTTTCTTATTATGCCGGCGTAGGTATCCCACATTGAATCGAGATTCATGATGGCAGTAATGGGGAATGAATGACCAACAAGAAGTCCGATTTTTTCTTGTCGATAACTCCAAAAAACGGTAAGGTTTCTTCATAATTGTTAATTCGAGTTCAGCATGTACATTTTGCACGGAATTATGATGATTTTGGAAAAATTTTAAGGGATATTAGCGCACGGGTAACAAAACCAATATTTACCAAAAACAACAAAACAAAAGGCGTATGTCATAAGAAAAACATTTTATATTTTATTTCTGTTATTGTTGTTACTTTTATTTTCACGTAACTTGTTTTTTTAACTAAAAATAAAACACTGTGTACAATTTTCCCCTCTACTAACAATAACATACAATATCATTAGATTAAATATTTATTCTTCTTATCACTGTGCAATACACAATGAAATTAGCTGTTCCCAGGTGCACCAACACAGACACTATAAATAATATTTTTATTGGTTTAAAAACTATATTACTGTTGTGGAATTTCTGGGTTCAGGAAATGGGACTCAAAGGGTCTATTAAAGGAGTTTTGCTGATGTCACAATCTTCTCAGCCTAGTATTAAGCAATTGCTTTGGCTGTTCAATATTTTTGGCGGCATACCTATGTGACTCATCTTTCCATCAATCAAAATCTAGCCTTTCTAGATATACCAGTGGTTCCTAAACCATTTTTTGGTCATGCCCCACCTAAAATCCTTATGTCCCCTGGCGACAGATGATTTTTATTATTCATGTGAAGGCAGGCTAAAAGGCTGTTAACTTTCCTTAAGAACTTGAGACTCCATATATGCAATAGTATTATTATCATTTAATTTTAGAATTTTACAATATTTACAAAACTATTATGTTACTAATATAAATATAAATGTATATATTACATACAGTACATACGTAATTACACATATACATACACAAATATTTTTATGTATGCAAACTATATATGCATCGTATGTATTAACTCACATACACACTCATACTCACACTCACTAGAAAAAATCTCTGTTAATAACTTGTCTCTGAATTGCCCCCCTTAAAAATCACATTGCCCCCATGTAGGGAACCACAGGGATATAGGATGAATCATCACCAGCCAACCAACCACTCTCTTTACATCTGTTATCATGAGGACCCTGCAAAGCCTATTTAAGGAGTTGAAATAACTCATGAGATGAAGTTGAATATTACAGCCTTCACAATATATTGTCACTTCCAGCCTAAATTCCTGGCCCTGTGGGAAGAGTGAACTACTCCAGATTCAAACCCAACTTGTTAAAAATGATTCTAGAGAATACAAATTCACAGCTGCATCCAACTGCTAAACCACAATGCTCAAGAAACCTTTCATCCAAATACAACAGCAATACTTGATGCTCCCTTTCGTAGTCTGGTATTGTTTCTCTTACTATCCCATCTTTTGTCTTTTATGTAAATTAACAATAATAAATACTAATGCATTTGTTTACATGTGTTTGGGAACTTAGCCATTTTTTAAATCCACTTGGTAATATTGTTTTTTCTTTTAAAGCGTCTTTCTGCCTTCAAGGTTAATTTGATTTATGCTGTCTTCTTTCTAATGGTCTAATGGAGAGGAAAGTTTTTGATTTTTACAATGTGCCTGGATGTAATTGTCTTTTCCTTATTTCATCGATCTTGTTATTGGCCTATGATATAATGAATATGCATACACCTGGGTTCCCCCTCACAGTAATGATTGGCTAGTGTCAGCCATAAATACAGACTGATGTGGAGGTACATGGACTATGCCTATTGACTTGGCCTATTGCCTACCACTACGACAAGGACCAGTCCATTATGGTTACCTGCTAGATTGTCCTACCCGGTTGCAGTATCACAAAACCACTTTGCTACTTCGAACAAATATATCCCTTTCCGGAACATATCAGCATAAAATTTCATATTTTCTGCACAATATGCACTAATATTGTGTATGCTCAGAATAACTCATAACACACTTTTTTTTTTTTTTGCAATAAACTTTTTATAATTCTCCACCCGTGTCATGTGTCCTGCTATTGTTGTTACTTCATTTGCTTTCCCAATAACACACACGTAAAACAAATAAAAAATCTGCATATGATAACAATGAAAATGAACAAACACACTTTATAGAATAAAGAAGAGTAATAATGTTGAAAATTTTAAGCATAGATGACAAACATTTGAGGCAAACTTAAGTTAAATATTTTTTTTTTTAAAATCTCATATCCTTTTTGGAAGTAGGTGATCACAGCCTCTTCAGAGATTATTTTTGTAATTGTCTGAGAATTGACATAACTTCTTGGGAATTGACTGACTGACTGATTTATTATTTTTAGTTTTTATGGCTTATCAACCCTTTGTGAATTATTTAAAGTTGAAACATATTTTGGATTGTAAGAATAATTCTTTTTTTTACAAGTTAATGTTGCATCAACAGTTTTTCAGAATCAGAATGATTTTTCCAGATACAATTCTAATTATTTATAACTTGGAGAGAGGAAATGTATTCATAACTTTCTCATTATTTCAGTAGCAGATGGTTTCGTTGCTTTTATGCATAAGTAAAGGCAACAAAACCAACTGGAATTTGAACTCAGCTCTCTGATTTCTCATTCCAAGCTACACCACCCATGTATCCAACATCTTGGAAAAGATAGCAGAGTGGTTCGTGTTGTCTTCAAAGTTATAAATTCTCAGTTGTTCTTCCTGTTGTCACCTAAGGCTAGTGAGTCTAGTCTACCATAGTTGGTATGGTGGGGAATAGATGAATTCATGTTTTCCCTAAAGACAGTTAAAAAATAAATGTGATATAGTTGGCAGGGGTTTGAACTTGGACTGCAATTTCCACTTTCGATGCTGATAACCATTACACTACTCGCTCATTCACTATGTTAGATTACTATTTTCATTAATGAAAGAAAATATGTGACCACATTTAATTTTTTCTTGCAAAATAGTCTAAAATAGTCTAGTTCATTCATAAAAAAAAAAATATAAGAAAAATTATTTTGGAAAATAATTTTCCCTAAAGTTGAAACACTTGTCAGAATTTTTAAAAAAATTAAAAAATTGATTGTTATCAATTTGGGAAGACAGGGGTTCATTTTATAATGTCAATATAGTGTCAAATCATAACAAACATCAGAGTTTTAAAAAAATCTGTTTGGCTGAAGTGAGCATTTTTCACCAATATATATATATATATATATATATATATATATATATATATATATATATATATATATATATATATATATAAATGTGTATATATATATATATAAAATGTGTATATATATGTACATGTAAAATGTGTATGTGTGTGTATATATATATATATATATATATAAAATGTATATATATATATATGTAAAATGTGTATATATATATATATGTAAAATGTGTATATATATGTACATGTAAAATGTATGTGTGTGTGTATATATATATATATATATACATGTAAAATGTGTATATATATATATGTATATATGTATACATATATGTAAAATGTATATATATATATATATATATATATATATATATATATATAAAACATTTTATGTTTAACATTCTTTTTATAGATACAAGTATTTAAGTAAATGCTCTGTTTATAATAAACAGTATTAAATAACATTTACCAGCCTGAATTTAATATTGTTTATTATAAACAGAGCATTTACTTAAATACTTGTATCTATAAAAAGAATGTTAAACATAAAAATCTCTATAATAAATTGTCGGACTTTGTACATTTCTTAATATATATGTATATGTAAAATATATATATATATATATTTTCTCTAGTGTTATATTGACTGTTGCAAAAGATTCATGCAACCCTGGGCCTCTTTGCCCTCTGCAGTAGTTCACTAGAATATCACATGTGACTCAAAGAGAAAATAATAACATAATGAAGTTGTTGACATTCCACACTACTGCAGACAAAAGGTTAGGAAGGAAACCCCCATCAATACTGGAAAGAGTGATAACATCTACTGGACTTGAGAAACCTATTTCCCTGGGTGTGGTAGCACCTGTTAGTCCCAGCTATGGGCAAATAGTTAACCTCAAAACTGGGGTCAAAACTCTATAAACATTATTATAGTAAAAATACCAGTAATACATTTTAACAAAAATTACCAGCAATACATTTTTTATAAAAGAGATTACTGATGCGCCCAAGAAAATTAAATTTAAGCATTAAATGACCTGATGTGTTGATAGGCTGTATACCAAACCTTCAAGAACTAGGTTTTAAAAACCTATTTTCCTGAAAAATTATTTTAGGAGAAATATTTTATAAATTTCAACTAACAATAGTACAAGCTGCTCAGTCAATGAATGCTGAATATTTCCTTATAAGGAAACGGCTAATATTACCATTACTGTTGCTATCTCTACTAAATATTGACTGGTTTATGAAGTGGCTTTCCTTTGGCTTCTCAGTTATAACACACATTATGAAGACATCACATCACTGTTCTTTAGCATGTTAGGTTAGGTTCATTGAATTTATGATGTGTCATCCTTTGTTGGGTTATTTAATGTTCAATTTTGTATGGAACACCTAGTGAGGATTGAACTCATTAATTAGTTGTTATAGGCAACCAGGCTAGTTTTCTTAACCATTACTCCATGATGAAAAGGTTAGGCTCATGATTTTTTTTTTTTATGACCAATCAATCCTTGTTGGGTTATTTAATGTTGAATTTTGTATGGAGCACCTAGTGAAAATCATACTCACTACTATGTAGCAATGGTCACTTAGCCTCACTAGCCATGCTGTAGTATCTTGTTTTTAGTTAGTTAAACACTGACACATCTGATGACTTGGACATCGGATGTATCAGTTCACCTATAATGCATTAGGGCAGGTTGATTTTGGAACTGTGGTATTGCACTCAATTCAAAAGTTGGGGTTTCACATGACACAAAATATTGAGATTTATTGTAAATTAATACAAGTATGGCACAAGGTCGAAAAGGGGGAATGGGTTTAGGCAGGTCTTCACTAACTATCTTATACCTAGCTAATTGGATTCACAACCCATTCACTCGTTACAATTTTCTCATTCACCATAAAAACTCATCCGTCACCAATCAATCCTCCATACACCATAATACCGTATCCTCACGGTGTCCTTAAAAAAAAAAAGAAAAAAAAAGCCATCCCAATGAGATGATAAATATTATTTACAATATATATATATACAAATCGGATGAATGATCATGAAATGGGAGGGGTGAACCCCAAAACAAACTAAATATCAAAACAAAGCAAAAATAAACATAACTGATGTTGGTAGGACCCGTCCAACCCTTTGAAAAAGAGAAGCCACTGTATTCTGTCCTTGGACAAAATCAAGCTGCTCTCTCGCTAAGGGAGAGGGAAAAGAGAAAATATAGATGGGCATGGGGAAGCAATAAAGCTGACCCAGTCAACTTGCAAGGGGGCCAAAACAAACTGGGGAGGTTGGGAATCTCAACTTGGATCATAACCAAAGATATAGCTGGGAATGACACTTACTCACATTAACTAGGTACACAAAGCTTGTCTAGCCTAACTAGGGGAGGCCTCCACAGGAAGCCACCCCGCTGTGACATAGGTTGACCTAAAAGAGAAAATCAAGGCTAGCCCCGTTCAAACGAAGCAAGCTCGCTTCAGTCACCCACCTTTTGCTAAAGGCTGTTGAATACAAGTGTTTTCTATCAGTTCTAATCTTCATCTTGAGCTGATGAGACAAAATATTTATTTGCAAATCATTACCGTTTTTTGAGGAAACGAGTTTTAAGATTACGCTTACGTTCAAAATTATTGCGTTGGAATTTAATTTCAGTGATCAGTGAAAGCCTTAAAGCACAGCCTTACAAAATTTATGATTTAATGAAGCTTTACAAATTGTATATGGACAAGATGAAAGACACACACATTATTACTAAATCATTGTGTCATCAATTAAGACCTTCATTTACTTCAAAGGGAAATTATACTAAACAATTTAGTTATATTAAGATGTAATATGTCATACAGTGTTGTAGTTTTTAGTGTGATTTTTAACAGACAATGAAAATTTAAAACATTTTGTCTTATAATTTGTGCCCAGCAGTTTTATAGAGTTATATACATTTTTATCTATTTTTTGTTATTATTAATTATGATCTGACAAATCTTATTCATTGAGTAGACTTTTTGTAATTGTTTACAATTTTTTTATAGTTTTTACTTATCGAATACATTAAAAACATTTCATATTTTTGCTTGTGGTGATTCATAATTAGAATTCTGGTTTGAGTATACTTTCCATTCAGTGTATGTAATGCAAAGGGTATTAACTTTATTTGGATTTATTCTTGAAATAGTAAAATTTGAAGTCATTTTGTAACCTGTGGAAATTGGATATTTCTGTACATTTTTTTCAGATGATCTTTAAAACTAAATACTCCAAAATTGGTGAGTTATTAATCTATTTTTTGATGTCAGTACTTATCACATCAAACCTCATCTTTAACACAGTGCAATGTTGATTTTCTAAAAAAAAAAGTGAAAAATCACTTTGCCCTAATATGACATGTATAATTTGAAGCTAACGTCTTTATAAAAAACATTTTATTTTCATTGTGTTTTTGTTTTTTTCTTGCAGGAATGTTGAAGAGATTTTGGCTGCCAGAGGAGAGAAAGTTGAGAAGTCAATAACAAATGAAGAAGGAATCCTCGAAATAATGAAAGAAGTCGATGAATGATGTGGTCATATATGTTTAAACTCTTTGGTGCTGAATTTTAAATTTCCTGACCATGTTGTCTTTTTGGCAATCAAAATGTCCTCTTCTAAACTTTGTTTTTTTTTTTTTGACCAGATAACATTTCAATAGTTTATCTCCAATAATGACTTTATATATTATTTACATTGTTCAGACTCTTGTCCTCATCTTTATTGTTATGTTTACAACATTTCGGCCGTTGTATTCACAGCCTTCTTCAGGTGATTGGAATTTTTAACTGAACACTTTATTCCATCCACTGGGGCAGATTGTTCTAGTTCCACATACCATGCCTTTTCCAGAACTCACAACTCACAACTCTTTAGGTCAACTTACTGGATTAAACCAACACTTTTATCCACTTTTTACCTGTCCTCAAGGACATATGGCCTAGTGTTGTTTAGATGCAGTGACTTGACTCAAAGTGCTGCGAGTTCAATACCTGACTATGGCAGTGGTGTACAAAAATACTTGGTGAGTTGAGTTAAAGGGAGATAACTGAGACATCCGGAAGAGGCATGACACGTGGAACTAGAACAATCTACCCCAGTGGACAAAATAAAGGGTCCAGTTTGAAATTTCAATCACCTGAAGAAGGCTGGAGCATACAATGGCCGAAACATTGTAAGCATGACAATAAAGATGAGGACAACAGCCTGAACAATGTATACCTCATCTCAGAAATATAGACAGATAATAATGACTTTGTTCTTAATTGTTGAAGTTGAGGACAGTTCTCCAAGATGGGGACAGTGTATTCATTCTCATTTATTTTCAATAATTTTGAATTCAATTTGTTCTAACCATATTTTAACAATTTTTCAAATCTTTTGCATGACGGCAACCAATAAATAATCAAAAATCTTTGCTGTCTGACATTCACTATTCTGAATGCTTACAATGTCTTTCCAGAAAGTGCAACCCAATAAAATTATCTTCCTCCAAAAAAAACAGGATTAATTAATCCTGACATTTTTTTTATAAACAATAATAGGAAATTTATTTCTTGTCAATGATTTTTTTTTTTTTTACTTCTTCCAATTACAAATTATTGAAAATACTTGTAACATTATTAAAATCATGTGATATTTTATTTGAAAATATATTTAACCAACTAGTGTACACAAAGGTGGTTGGAGTGTTGTTTTTTTGTTTATCAAAATATTTGGTATAAAATGTTCAAATTTTATCATATTACAAAAATAATTACAAGATATTTTTTAAACTATGAGGGGGATATTGAAAAGTTCTTAGATAAATCAAGAAAGGATAAAAACAAACAAAAAACAAATTCTGATATTTGGTCAAATTTTTTAGTTATTTTTTTTTTAAAGTAGAATTCATCTAGTATCAAAAACCACTCACTGGTGAGAGATGAATGAAAAAGGAAGTGAAAATTATGAGGCTAGGGAGGATAGATAATTTAAAATTGTAGTATTCGGGGAAGCAACCATGTAGGAGTGGCAGTTCTTGAGAAAAAGCTGTCTGACTGAAACTTTCTTTTTATATTTAAAGCACAGGGGAAATGAGGATGCTTTGACTCTGTGGAAGTAGTATCGTGTGTGTGAGCTGTAAAGGTCTGAACTGGTGGAACTTAAGACTGAAGCTGATCTGAGCATTTGTCATGGAAATAGTGATAGACTTTTGCAGTGTTGTCTGTGGGGCAAAAGGCTGCAGAGCAGAGAAGTCTTCGCCAAGAAAACTACATAACTGATTTTGAACTCTGTCAATGATGGAAGGTAGGGATTCAGTAGTAAATGTCCAGGTATAGCAGCAATACTCCATTTTTGAAGTAAGTCAAGTTAAGAACTTTGTAGCTTGTATATTAAAATTATATGAAATAAGTAAATACTATTTAATGAAGTTATATTATTAAAAAAGTAACTATGTACCCTATGATGTCATGGATTAGAATTATTATTATTATTCTTGCAATTATTATATAAATCAATTAAAACTTTAATTTACTCTAATGATTGCATGTATACCTGAAATTATATGTATTAAATCAATTGAAAACCAGCCTATGGGGGTGGAGATTTTGAACTAGTTCTTGTGGAAAATATTAAATCTGACCATTGATCCTAATAACAGATTCAAATAGTGTTGTTGTAATAAAAGGAAACTGTTGAAATATTAAAAATTCATATGGAATCGAACCTTATCCTATACGGAACCGCCTGACGTGCCTTTAACCGATTAAGCCACAGAGGAGCGTTCGTGTAGCAAAGTCGATTTTACTGTCTTTAAACTACAATCTTCCATGATTCACTCATGTACATTCATATCTGCTCATGGCATATCCAAATGTAAACAAATGATGTCACACATTATGAAATAGACAAAGTCCGACAATTATTTTAAGACATTTTTATGTTTATACATTCTATTTATAGATACAAATATTTAAGTAAATGCTCTGTTTATAATAAACATTATTAAACAACATTTACCCGCCTGAATGTCCGAGAAATTTTCATAGGAGCGTTCGGTTAGCAAAATTTAAAGACTGTAAAAATGGACCTTGCTAACCGAAAGCTCCTCTATGGCCAAATCGTTTAAAGACACGTCAGACTATATGACGGTTCTGTATAGGATACAGGTTCGATTCTTGTCGGAGGACGAATATTTTCTTTGAAAACTTCTCGGACATTCAGGACGGTAAATGTTGTTTAATACTGTTTATTATAAACAGAGCATTTACTTAGATATTTGTATCTATGAAAAGAATGTATGAACATAAAAATGTCTTTTTATATATATATATATATATATATATATATATAAATGACAAACTGGAAAGTTTTTTGTGACGCGTTTTATCCGTTAGGATTTTATCTGGCTGAGCTTTGTTGACGTTGCCATGTGGACGAAACGTTAGTTCAGCCACCAGAAATTTGCGTTCAGGTTCTTACAAAATATCACCATTCTTAGTAGATTTTATATTGTCACAGTGTGAGAGAGTCAGAGACAAAGGTGATGGAGAGAAAAAGAATACAGATGATTTCGGTTAAATTGAGAAAAAAAAAATTCTTTCAAAAATTTTGACACTACCTGCGTCTTTCGTTTCATGCGCATGTGTAGACGTGGCAACGTCAACAAAACCCAGTCCGATGAAACGCGTCACCCCCAAAAAAAAAAAACTTTCCAGCTTGTCATTTTTTTGCTGCTTCTTGATATATAAAATTATACAAAATTTTATATATATATATATATATATATATTTGTGTACTTAGGCAGCAATGCTTCTTTCATGCACATTTCATTGAATACGACAGACATGGTGTTTTTATTTATTTTTTTATACAATTTCTCATGCTTTGTAATATTTTTTTTCTTTTCGGATGATAAATTATATAAAAAATAATATAATAGTATCATCTACATACAAAAAAGGCTAAAAAAAGTAATGGAAGCCATATTAATAAAAACAAAAAAACCAACACTTAACTAACAATATTAACTTTGAACATGGACACAATATCTTGACCGCGTTTTGAAAAATGAAAACATTTTATAAAACATACATACAACGAACTATTTCTTATTTAACAGTTAAAATATTTAATCCTTGAAAATGGCTAAATGTATAGCCGAAAGCGATCGGATAAAAAGAACATTCGGACAGTCTTTATATAATTTATCATCTGAAAAGAAAAAAAAATTTAGATCGCATGAGAAATTGTATAAAAATCTAAATAAAAGCAAGTACCATGTGTGTTGTATTCAATGAAATGTGCATGCATATATATATATATATATATATATATATATATATATATATATAACAACTTTGATTTAAAAGAACCAGCAAGTTTTGTATGCTTAATTTTTTACTGCATTATTCCAATTTTTGGATGAGATGTTGAGTATTGTGCTCGAAGTTGTGGACAAACTGTACGAAGTTCATATTTTGTTATTGCTTTGTTCAAGTTCTTTAGGCAATCGCAGTCATTGTCAGGAACGAAATGTGATAACTGTGTGGTAGTTAGAATTCTTTTGTCTACATCCTCGTATTCTTTGGGAAGCTGGAGGTTTGAAATAGTCTAGCGTGACGTCACGTGTAACGGTTATTGGGAACGAGGCTACATAAAAGGGATGCGATTTATTTATTATTTATTATTTTATTTAAAAGAATTATGAAAGATTGGAAATTAACCGTTACATAATTTAAATTAAACAATGGTCAGCTTTAACTCAGCTCCGGAAGATTGCGTTGAACTCAGAGTTATGCTACCGGTGAGTAAAAAAAAATGTTCATTTATTACTAATATATATATATATATATATATATATATATATATATATATATATATATATATATATATTTATATGAAGAAATATAGTTTTAATGGGTGCTATATTTATGGGATAAAGTGCTCAATATCAGAGATAGAATGTATGTAAATATAAATATATAATAAAAGTGAACATTGAAGTCAACACTCAAAGGTGACAAGCTGTTTCATGCTGGATGCAATTGTCAGGCTAACGATTGCGTCCAGCATGTAACAACCTGTCGCCCCTTTTCAGTTTATATATATATATATATATATATATATATACAATACGCGGAGAAGTAGAAATACCTAGGTTGGTATCCAGGCGCGCAGTAAGTGGAATGTAGAGCCATGGGTTTTTGTTAAGATATCTGTGTAGGAGATGGTAAACTATGATACAATACCTGTGACATCGTTTGCATCCAATGTAGGCCAGTTCTTCATTTTGAAAGGTCATCGTGTAGGTATGACTCTGTACAAAGCATTTCCTCACTTAAAAAAAAAGAAAAAAAACTTCATGTATAAGTATCGTTTGATTTCGCTATGATCATGTTTATATCCATTTAAATGACTCTCACATCATAGGCTGATTAGAAAATTAAACAAAAGACTATTGTTCTTAACTAAGTAGCCAGTATATCTATAATTATACTGATATCGTGTACTTTGACGAATATGTGATAGGTTGATTTATTGATCTTTATTTTTTTAAATAATACTTATGAATTTTCATGTTCTGTTGGAGTTTGGTTAGCGACTAACGAAGGTTAATGAATTTTTGTTTATTTTTTGTGTATTTTAAACCGTCTTTTTCGTTTTCGGTGAAAAGTTGGCATATTGTCCAATATCTGGGTACTTCCAGTTTATTCATAATCCATTATCAAAGCGTTTTTGTTGACTACATACATATGTATTGATTTTTGTGTTATGTTCATTTATTCTTTTTCGCTCTTTTAAATTATCGTGTCTTCACGTGTTAGTTTGTTTCGTGTCAATTATTTTTTTTCGAAATATACAAAAAAGTTCTCATCAAAGAACTTCCGTTGGTCTTTAACCAAAACTTGTGTAAACGAAAAACTGCTGCCGAAATACACCTAATTCTATCTATCTATCGCCTCATTTAGTTCATATCTATCTATCGCCTCATTTAGTTCATATCTATCTATTGCCTCATTTAGTTCACATCTATCTATCGCCTCATTTAGTTCATATCTATCTATCTATCTATCTATCTATCTATCTATCTATCTATCTATCTATCTATCGCCTCATTTAGTTCACATCTATCTATCTATCGTCTCATTTACTGCATATCTATCTATCGTCTCATTTAGTTCAAATCTATCTATCTATCGTCTCATTTAGTTCAAATCTATCTATCGCCTCATTTAGTGCATATCTATCTATCTATCTATCTATCTATCTATCGCCTCATTTAGTGCATATCTATCTATCGCCTCATTTAGTGCATATCTATCTGTCGTCTCATTTAGTTCATATCTATCTATCTGTCTATCGCCTCATTTAGTTCATATCTATCTATCTATCTATCTATCTATCTATCTATCTATCTATCTATGGCGAAAATTGACTTGGAAACCATAGCATGTATCCCATAATGCAGGTCATGGCCAGGGTAGAGCGTGGGACAGTGGAGTCTTATTCCCCCAACAGAAAATTATTCGCCCCCTCCAATCTGCGAACTAATTTTAATGCACTTCTGATCTATTACGCAGCCAAATCGAAACTGCTTTCTAGTGATCGATCTCTGTATCAATTCATTGTCAACCAAAGGTTTTGCTAGCAATTATGGAATTCAGATGGTTCTGGGATTTTTTTTTTTTTTGTGTATTGTCAGTGCTGTAATGAAATTGTTCAAATTGGAGTAGCCGGTAGCTGTTTATGTGTTCTTATGTTGACAAAATAACGGACATAGGATACAGAATCATTTGTTCCGAATGGAACATTCCGTCATCCACTCATACTGGAAGTCATCGTTATTTTAATTCTATAATATTTGGAATCAAAATGGCGATGGCATTCCTTGTTACCAACTATGGTTTGGATTTTCTGTTTATGCTTTTGCTTCCCTCTCTTTCGAGAATAATGATATTCTTCATCTCTTCGAAGCTTCTTGTTGCAAAAACTCATGAAAGTAGAGAGGAAACTGAGCTAATTGACTTTTTTGGCCTTCCTGTCGGTGAATGAAAACCTAAAAAAGGTTACCCGGTTATAATTTATAGGAGGTACCTAAAAAAAAAAGCAAAAAAACAAAAACAACAAAAAAACAAAAAACAAAAAAAAAAATAAACAAACAAACTATACCTCAGGTTTAAGATGCATTTTTATAAATGAAACATTTGAAATCTTTTATTTCAGTTTTAATTCCAAGCTCATAGACTAAATTTAATATTTCTAATAAGCAAAATACCTTACTGTATATTTCAAACCGAATTTAAATTGATCGGAATGATTTCTTCTTTGATTACCAGAAAAATCGCTAGATCGCTTATATTGACAAATTTCTCAACACAACCTAATTCTCTTTATTAAAAAAAAAACTTTAAAAAAATAAAATATGCTTTTCCGAAAAATTATTTTAGAGAAGTTAGTTAAATGAAAGTTTAATTAATCTGAATTGAAACAAATGCTTTAGCCTTAATTACAAAGACTCTTGTTGAGGAAATGTTAGAAAATTACCAGTAAATTTTAAATTTACTACAGTTACCCTTCTTATTTTCTAATAATGTCGTGTACGGACGTCCGTATTTATAAAAATCGGCACGTTTATACACGCGCAAAAAAAAAAAAAAAAAAAAAATAAAATTAAAATTCTTTTTAAAATATTTAAAACGTTATCAGTTGATCGCTACAAATGAATACAGAATTTTAAAATATTTAAAACTTTATAAATTAAAATTATAATTTAAAAAAAAATGAAAATAATTTTTGTAAAAACATCCTTATCATCAAAAAAAAAAAAAAAAATTCTTAAGAGTAAGACAATTGTCTCCATAATATATTTTATTCATAAAAGTAATTAAAAGCTTTTCTAATGTCTTAGTTTAATCGTATTTTTTATTTTATGATTCTGAGCGGACTTTCTGTAACTGGGTGTTTTGCTTCATCCAAAAAATGGTTTAAATTCTCCAAGGACTTGTCTTTATAAATAATATAAACATTTAAGCACTACAAAAAAAGAATTTCTTGAGAGTTCATAAAATTAAATGCGTATCTCTCTTTGACCCCAACCCACCACTGCCTTTGTAGTTTCGTTCATGCTCTCTGTTTCATCCTTTCTGAGCAAAGCGTAGTTGGCTTAATATGGCTGGAAGGCAAATAATATAAATTCTGCTATTCTCTAAGTATCTCTCTTTAACTCCCTGACTCTTGGCTTTCTTTCATGCCTCCTACTCAAAGGGAATGGAACAGGAAAGCAATTAATTCACTGCTTTTTCTTCTTTTCTCGCTAAGCAAACAGGAGCTTTCTCTATTTGCAATTTTTAAATAATATCGCTAATTTCAATTACTGACATTTAAAAAAAGTATCGTTAATTTTTACTCAAAAATGATTTTTCCTCGGAAAGAAGTAATGCATGCAGGACGTGCGTTGCATACATAGATCTTTCGTCTTGTGTATATATATATATATATATATATATATATATATATATATATATAATGCTGTTCGAAAAAAGTGACTCACCTGATTTTTTTTACTAAATGTTCTCTTCTCCGATGAAACGAAAGTTGAGCTAAATTCAAAAGATAAGCGATCTAAAATCCGAAGAAAAAGCTTTGAAAGCTCTTTGAATTTAGCAGTAAGTACTGTCAAGCATCCGTTCAGTATAATGTTCTGAGATGCTTTTCTTTTCATGGAACTGGTTTCTTAAAACCTATTGAAAAGACCCTCAGGAGAGAGCAGTACAAGAGAATTTTAGAGTCTTGTCTGCTCCCTTCTGCTGAAAGGGTGCAAATCGACTCCGCCAAGCTCATTTTTATGCAGGATAATGTTCCCTGTCACAAATCAAAATTGATGAAGGAATACTTTGATGAGAAGCAGGTGAGTGTTATGACATGGCCGCCCCAATCTCCTGACCTCAACCACAGAAAACTTATGGAGCATTATAAAGTACAGGCTCTCGAGAAAGCAGTTGAGCAACATGCTCCATAAGTTTTCTGACAGCTATGACTGGTTTATCTTGTTTGTATGGCATGTTGCCAGACATAGGGTCTTCTATCAGCCACCCTCTTGACCTAGGGCAACACTCCCTGTTCAAGGCACTTGATGTAGGTCTCCGTGTTGAGTCTGAAGCCCTCACCAACAATTTCGGGAGTTCTTTTTTATCATGACGATCAGAGTGAATTTTCCGAGCTGTCATGTCTTCGCAACGACCATTAAACTCATTCAACTCTTTCCAAATTCTCCGCACACCTATACACCCTGAAATGTTCGTATTGGAACTTCCGGTGCTAATGACGAGCAGTACAGCATGCCGTTTCCAAATTTCTGGTGGAGTGAATTGCATCATGGTACTCTTTTTCTCACAGACGTTGCCTAACTGATCCTACTATAGTGTGCAGTCGACAAAACCAAAACCAAAGAATGCGCATGCGCGAAATTAAAAAAAATATATAATGGCAATATTTTTCCCATCGCACCCTGTATATTGGGTTCTTCGACGTGGTGTAATGGTTAGCATGCTTATCTCACTGAGTGGTCCATATATATATATATATATATATATATATATATATATATATTTGAAAATATTTTTAAAGGTACAAAATCTAATTAAAGAAATGAAAGTGTGTAGCTTAACATTACATGACATTTTTAAACGCGAACCAACCGGTTTCGCTCTCGCTCTTCAAGCCTCTACGGGAGATTTAACAAACAAATGAACACAAAGAGTTAGAGACAAATAACACCGAGCCCCAACAAACATTCACGCTGTTTACACAGGGAAGGTTTGCGGGACCCGATATAAAGTGCCTCCAGCACCTTGAGATGAAAGATATATATCCTAAGCGTAGCTTAAATGTCGTGCTACGCACATACACACACGCACACAAAACACTCACACGAAAACAGAAATCGACCTAACACTAATCATTTGCAGCCCAACTAGTTCGTGAATTAATTACATCAAACTTAGTATAAACATAACGAAAAATCGAGAGTCAATTGCTGAAACATCCTGAAGAGTGAACTGAATAATTGCAAAAAGGTTCGTCTACAAAACTCAGGAATATAGGTGCTATATATATATAGGTAACATCAATCAGCTAAGTGAAAAATGTATTTGTATTATATATATAAATGTATTATATGTATAAATGTATGTATTATGTATATAATTATTATATGTATAAATGTATGTATTATGTATATAAATGTGAAAAATGTATTTGTATTATATATATGTATAACACTTCTACGAAAAAGTTTTCTACTCTGAATTAAAAAACATTAAACAAACTCTCATTAATAATGACTTATCTAATTACATTGTTCATGAAAAAATTAGACGAGCCATTAGAAATATTAACCTAAATGAAAAAAATACTTCGTCAAATAACCTTAAACATACTAACCTACTATATTATAATCAAATGCATTCTAACTATAAACAAGATAAAAAAAACTCTCATAAGTATTAATATATTCCCATGTGATATCTGTAAAAAAAAAAATAAAAAAATAGTACTAATTATATATTATACTAAATTTAACACAACCAACCTAATCATGCACAATAACTCGTCTCAGTCAACTAGTGTTACAACGAAGACATTTAAAATTTTAAAATAATTAAAATGTGTTCCAATAACTTGGACCGATTTTAAATTGAATTAAGTTTAAAATCAGTCCAAGTTATTTGAACACCCTTTATAACAGAGCGCGTTCATGCGTAGTTTTAAAAATGACCATCACAATGATCACAGTTACAATAGGTTTGTCTTTGTAATTCACCCCTGATGATCTCGGAGGAGATCGAAAATACTTGGGTAAGAAAAAAACAAAAAAAAACAAAAAAAACTATGGCGCCTTCCTTGATGAATTTTATCTTAACATCAAGAAACTGATTAGAAAACTAATTATATAAAATAATGACTGAAAATAACGGAAAATTATCAGTTTTCATCCCCAAAATCTAACCATGAATTCTCTGTCTTTCATATATGTAACAATAATAATAAAATACCTTTTCTTGATAAACATGTGCACTCTAAACTATAAAAGTGAATGCCCTATTACAAAATAACTATTATACAAAATTTAATAAACCGTGCAAAAGGTAACTTTTCACGAAAAAAAGATTTCTACATTGAATTAAAAAACATTAAACAAACTCTTATTAGTAATGGCTTTTCTAATTACATCGTTGATGAAGAAATTAGACGAGCCATTAGAAATATTAACATAAACTAAAAAGAACTTAATACTTTCTCAAATAACCTTAAACATATCTATTTACTATATCCTAATCAAATGCAAGAAGTCCTAAAAAATCTCATAATTACTAATATATTCCCCAAAGTAAAAACATAAAACTTATTATACTAAATTTAACACAACCAATTTAATCAATGACTCTTCT